GTTGTTAATTAAACTTTTATTGTTTCAACTAATTTCCAATAATAATTGATAATAATGTATACTTTGGAAGAAAACAAGTTTATAATTGAAGTCTATTTTCGAAGTGGACGCTTAGTAAACGGCGATTTTTTTAATTTTGAGTTAAAACAAGTAGGTACCCCTTTTTCGTAAAGCGGCATTTTTTATTTTACATGGAAAATTCACAGCTGGCTAGATGAAAATCATTTATAACCACTCTGTACATTATTACTATTCAACACTACTAAACTAAAATGCTTTATATTAAATATTTGTTATTTTTACTGTCACAACATGAAAATTGTTTAAATATTATAAAAACAGTGACGCGTGTTGTTGAAAAATTATATTTAAAGACTTGCTATTAAACTTCTTGTATAATTGCCTAGTTTCTACGAGCTACGTTTATAAAAAAGTTTATTATTATCATATTATTTACCAATGTTGACAAAATCGTCATTATCTAAGACCTCAGAGATGACATCATCCGGATCCAATAGAGCACCCCCTCGTGTTTTTCTTACTTCTTGTATTACATTGATGATATCATGTTCTTCGATTTTGACACCTTGCATTAATTTCTGATATTTTCTCCATGCTTCTTCTCCTAGCCATCTGACAGTGTTTGTACCTAAAAAAATTAATTTAATCTCATTTTATGATTTTTTCTAATCCTTTTGGTGTAGATAAGAACAAGGTCGAAATTAGGCTCTAATTACAGACAGGATTTGTATTGCATATAATAATTGCAATAAGATAATTACCATCTTTGCAAGGAATTTGTAACCACTCGTCTTTAACTCGGGCAGAAACCTTCATGGTAAAATGAATACTAGGTTAAAAGGACTTTTCTTTAATTTAGTTTCTGGCACTGAATAACGGTAGTGATTTATTATCTTTGGCAAACAATGATTAGAGAGAGATGCATAAATTAATTACGTGTTAACGAATTTGTTAAGGAATTATAATAATTTACTGAAGAGATTATATAGCTTCTTTCTGACCTTAAACCTTCCTGAGTGCGTTATCTGATCGCTCGTGGACTAGGATGGAAGAACATATAACTTAACCAATATTTTTGTAACCATATTTATTTAAGCAACACAAAAATAGGAATAAAAGCTAAGAAAGGTTTGACATCAGTTTTCTCGCACTGTTTAAAATTTGGGTTTGCCAATTCCTTTTTATTTTATGTACTTAAATAAAATTGACCAAAATAATTAATTTTTAATAAGTTTGTTTATTTCCGACAGTGTGATTAAATATTGCCACGTATAAAACCTAGTGTCTGTTTTAACGATATGAATTAAACACATAGGTAATTTCTATTTAAATAGTATCTGAAACTCGTATATGTTTTTTATTACTTTTAACAGCTGATATCGCTGATTTCATGCTTCCCTCTAAGTACATAACTCGTATTTCTTTGGATTTTTAACCTAAAATTAAACAAAAAAATAAAAAAAAAAAAATAAACACGAACAAATAAATGAAAAATAAAAATTAAGGTAAACATCAAAAAATTTCATAAAAAAAAATAAAAAAATTCCACTTGGTGGCCATATTTTCAGTCACTTATTTATATTGTTTTTACCATAACTTAAAGTAAAAAAGATATCAAAAAAAGTTAAATAATATGTATGATGGATATATCATCTACGGTTACTAACAACTGAAATAATAATGAATATTTTTACAATGCAATCTAATTATAATACGACAAATTCATAAAAACTGTTGATTGAAAATTTCTAACAGCGACGTTGCATTTTCTTTAGATTTATATTGGCGGACAGGAGGAAGCGCCGGGCGGGTAGCAACTACGCCGGCTTATAATTTCCACATAGACCATCTAATATGTATACTTACTGTTGTTGAACTATCCGTATTTTTTTGACGAAAGGGGTGTGGCCATATTTTCCGTCTGGCCATATTCGACATTCATGAAAATTTCCTACATTTAACAAAAAATAAAAAAACCCCAAAGAGCATAAAAAAGATCCGAAATGTTTAGCGTTAAACTGCTTTTAAACTTTTTTGTGTATGATTTTCAGAATTCTGTTTTTAATTAAATTAAAATCATGGTTTTAATGTATCTAAAAGTAGATTTACCTGTTGTAATATAAGAAAAAGATGTTTTTGTTACCTAATATTTAATTTTTTTTCTTAAACCTTACTCGTAGATAGTTTAACCTTGTAAACCAATGAGTTAGACGGTAAGTATTGATTGTTGCCGACACTTTTTTTTTTGTTTAAACTGTTTATTTTATATCGGTTTTAGTTTTAAATCACGTGTAAAGTACGCAATGTTTCACAAATGACTAGTACGTATTTTAGCTTAAAAGAAAAAAAAAAAAAACTCCTATTATTATGTGTTCAATTAAATTTCTATTCAAAGTGACCTGTAACTAGCCACATTGAGTAATGTAGAAAAATGTAATGTAAGTTGAGAAAACTGCCAATTATTTAGTGTTGCCAATATAATTTCAATATCGTAAATCACTTTAATCAGGCATTTAATTGAACTCATGGTGTAATTTAATTACAATAAGGTGTAATTCAATTACAATAAGGTGGAGCTGAAAAATTATTTTCTACTGTTTCTGTATATCCAATATGTTTAAAATCACCTTTTCGTCATAGTTCTTCCTTTTTTAAAAAAGTCCACTTAGAGTACAATTTTTACTACTCTTTTCACGTTAGCAGAAAGCTTAACCTGCTTGAGAGTTGTTTGTTTCGAATACATGATTCTACTCGTAATAACATGGTTAACTTTAGAATAAAGAAAAATTTTTAGTCGATGCATTGAGTTACTAATTTTACATTTTCGCAGTTGCATTTCGGACATCTTCGTGGTAAGAATAATACAGTCTAAATCAGTTGATTTTTAGATGTGTTCAAAAGTAAGGCCGCTGTTTTCAAAACAATGTCCGCTTGTCAACTTGACATTTGCATTTGCAGCCGCCAAAAGGCCGATTATTTTAAATCAAAGAAAAGTCCGGCCTTAAAATTTCTAAATTTGTAAAAGTATAGGTATAACAGATCGGACTTTCTTTTGATGATAGATAGCATCCTTTTTTTTTTTTGAAAAATAGGCCTCACTTTTTCAAAACTGCAAATGTCATGTTAACAATCGAACTTTGTTTTGAAAACAGCATCCTTACTAGTCCTTACCATCGGAAAATTAACTGATTTAGAACGAACAACTCAATTTTTCTAATTTAACCTTACGGAATTGTACAAGTAAAAATACACGTTTAAGGTAAACACAAGCGAGATGACATGAATTATTAAAAAAAGATAATAGTTACTTTAACATTTAAGTCAACAATATGATGTAACAAGTTGTGTACAAGATCAACTAGAAAGTAGTTCATTTAACTACAAATATTAAATCATATAATCAAATTTCCAAATGAAATCTTCACTAATAGTTATTAAAGAAAAATAATAAAAAATCGTTTTAGTTTGCTTAGCATGAAGTAATAAATTACCCACCATATTTTTTAGTGTCTTCAATGTTAGGTGTGTTGTCATTTGACTTAGTACCTCATGTGATTCGGCAGAAGTCAGTGTAAGCAAGAAGTGATTTAATATCTTTCTTACAATTCGAGTCATTCCAACACAAAATGTACCTAATTAAAGTTTTATTGGTGTTAATATCATTGAATTTGGGTCACAGTGTTGCCGATAATGGTGATTATTTAGTGGAACTCAAATTTGTTTTACGTGAGGAGCGAATCCCAGCCATGATCGGCTATATTTTAACCAATAGTGTCGAACTACATGACATTAAAACTGAAGACATTGTTAAACTGAGCAAATTGGACAAATACGATTTGGATGCCACGATTCGACTTTTGAATTACTTGAACATCACGGCAGAAAATGCATTTACGGTGGACAATCTAGAATACATTCTTCAAAGTTTTGGTATCGAATTTTTGGAGCTGTATCGTGATTTGCAAAAGCGCTTGGATCTCGATGATATCACAGTTTTAAACATCGCAGATGATTTAGCAATCGACAAACTGAAATTTCTAACGGCAATTATCGGAAGCACTAACGTTTACGAGGTTTTAAAATCTGGAAATTATGATAAAAAACATGTGTCTGAAGCTTTAGAAACTGCTAAAAAGACCGAAAATCAGATTTTTACAGCTGGAAGAGATTTTATGTATGACAAAGTTGTAGCTATGGACGCCTCTTCATTTATGACAGTATTGCAAACCAAGTTTGGATGGGACAGGCAAAGCAGTGCTAAGCTGTGCAACGCTTTCAATCTAACGACACGTGATGTGTACGAAGTGGAAAAATTTAAAAACATTTTTGTCAATATTAGCGACAGTTTGAACCAAAATCAAACTTTTGGTGTTTTTGTCGCACCAGACAGACTCGCAGTGCATGAAACGGTTTACAACAGGTCTCTCATTAATGTTGATGAAATCTCGGTTAAAGTAATAGCTAAAGGATTGGAAGTAGTATCATCGAAAAGTCAAAATCTTGGCGAGAAGATTGTTGGTCTAGAAGTTAAAAACGCAGTAACCGATTATGTTGACATTGTTGAGAATTACTACAATTCATCCGAAGAATGTTTTTACGTCACAAAAACAGATGGTGAAATTCGTACGTATCAAGTGGAAATTGGCGAGAGCAGTTTTAATAAAACTGGTGGTCTCCAGTTTAACGTAGGAAGTCCTCTAATTTGTGATGGCCGTCTTTACGGCCTTGTCAGTGAAGAAGTCGAAGAACAAATAATGTTTGACATTTTCTACACTATTGACAATCCTCCCCCTGAAGAATATCACAGCAAGGCCAGTTTTGCGTCCTCAATTATGATAAGCCTATCATTTGGTTTTTTTATTTTGTTGTTGTCGTAATTGTATGCGAGTCAAATATTTGCAAAAGATTGTGACGCAGGTCTTTATCTGAAACTAATTGTTAGCGCGGTGTTATTCTAGTCACCTGTGAAAATAAACACCTAAAAGTAAAACACGTTTATTTCTCCCTCTTCAAACTTAGAACAGTTGCGATTTATCAGTGTTTACAATCAGCATTTTGCTGAACAATCCTGTTAACCTTGACCCTGCGTCCTGTGAATGCGACGGGGGCGCTATTCAGGTCCTTCAGGACGTCGATAACTGTTGCGCAAAGACCTCTTTATTGATGTTTCTCGTTCATGATGGTAGAGTGCGAGCACTTCAAAAATTGGTAAGCGGTTTCTTCGCCAGTTTCTTGCTTCTTAGTGCACTTGTTAACGATTATTTCTATTATCTTGTCGGTCAGGAGAGGATGTTCAATGCGTTTCCGGACTGCGTTTTTCTCAAAGTTGCCTTCTTCGTCTTGAACGCCATTCTGTTTATTAATGCAGAAAAGAAACTCTTTCAGTTTCGGTTCGTCGTCGATAATTCCGCTAGCTGTTTGAAGGGCACGTTCAATGTCCACTTTGGAACTCTTCAAGCACGTAGAGTAGGTGCTTAGAAAAATCTCTTGTTCTCGATTAGAAAGGCTAAATGCCTAACGGTTGACAGTACAATTACAGTTTTATCGAATGGGGAAACTTACAAAAATTCCACATGCTACAGTGATGACCGACATAAAGAGTAAATATTTCATATGGGTGTATGCGCCAGAGAGGGATACTGTTTTTTTTATAACTGGTAATTTTGTAAGTTTCATGACAACACGATGATATGAATGAAAGGCTAATGAAGGGATAATGACATTTTTGTCAATTTCACTTTGACATAGAGGAAACCACGAAACCATTGACACAAGAATCTATTTATATCAAAGGTATTTTAGGTAGAGCGGAATTCATTCTGCCGTCACCAAGAAGTACGAGAAATGAATTGACTTAATAATTATTTAACTTTAAAAGCTCTCCTAAGCTCCTAAATTGATATTTGATAAAAATCTGACTCGAAATAAAAAAAACTTCTAAATTAATAAGATTGTTTAATAATTTATTACAAATTGATCCACGTACAGTCTATTTTTTTATCTTATGGTGGGAGGTGTGAATCAAGAACACGACATAACCTCCGTCTGTTTTTAACATTTGACAGCTTTTTACTAAAGTCAAAAAGTAAAGATTCTCTATGGAATTAGGATTTTTATAAGGTTTTAATTACAATTGTTATGATGATACAGAGGGTATAAACATTAGCCTCAAAACGTCAAAACAGTTTTCCCCATTAAAATTGAAATTACTAATGACCTACGTGAGGATAAGACACAATTTTGACGAAAAACTAACTTTTTGTCTAAAACTAACAAAAAAAGGATCAAAAATTTTATTAAAAGTCTAATATATTACAATTTTAGAAGTATATTTTAAAGTAAAATACTTAAGCGACAAAAACAAACACCATTCCGCTGGCTTTCCTACGGAGTTAGGCCGTGACTCTCAGCCAGCAAACGTGTAACGAATTGGCTTGTGTGATACGAGCCATGCATCATATTGACTGTTGTCAATAAATTCTAAAACAATTTCTTTTAGTTGATTTTATATCATTATTTGCTTTATTTTATCTACGACCATTACATAATACGTTTGTAATTTACGTAATTAAAGGTACATTATGCTACTCGTAAATTACACCTGCGACTTATCATAAATTACATACAGATCTGTCATTATAATAAATATAAAACTTGTAAGTAGAAAGCGTTTTATTAAAAAGCAGAGAAAAATTATTCCAAGTCCAAAATCAAGAGAAAAATGAACTTTTCTTTCTACTGAGTTAGAATAATGAAGTTTTAATTACAGATTTGCTGGCTTCAAGTAAAGCAAAAACTTTTTTTCCTTTGCAGTTTTGGCGTAAAATCAAAGATAATTTTTTTTCCTCGTGTAAACTCAATCCAGAGACATACTGTATACTTGTACTCATACTTTTCTTTATAACATATAGCTTTAAAAATAAAAAAAATAAACAAAAAAAACTATTAAGTGTTATAAATTTTATAGGTTTGGTGATTGAAAAAGAAACAACAGGAACTCCTTTTGAACTTCTTTATTTCTTCAGGCTATTTTACAGACTGACTATACTATTCCACATTTGCACAAAATTCACCCTCACACATTCAAATGGGCCAATTAGCTCCAAGCATTCTTCTAACGTTCAAATCTCTACACCAATCATTACTATTTTAGCCACCTGCTAAATATTGCTTCCCACGCTCGCCAAATATCTTGCACCCTTGACCCACACATGTTCCTTAATCCCTTACATCCTGAGGACCACTCAAAAAGGCGACTCTATGTCGCCACATGCAGACCACCCATACTCAAACACCCAAACACCCCCTTACAATTACAAATAACTATATTATAAGTATTATTTGTCTATTTTTTCTGACAACGCAAATTATTTCAGCCCTGAATATTCCGTAGTCTTGAAAGTTCTATCCTGGCGCCTCCACCATATCTCATCGTTAGATTGGTCAAAATAGAATTGAGTAACAAACAAATCTATACCACAAAAAAATCAGTTTTAGATAGGTATAATATATTTTGCTGACTAATATAAAGAACTTCAAAAACAAAGTCAGCAACGGCGTAAAAATATGATTGATAATATTACTGTTGATAATGAAATTCAGATAAATATTTATAAAAGGAATTTCTTTCTTTCAACCAAAAACACTGCTTTAAATTTGTTTGTTTATGTAAGAATCTAAAAGATAATAAACCTAAATTTCTTCTTAAAATACCGACTTATGCATAAAGAAATCTTAAATAATTAATTTTTATTAATTTCTTACAGATTGTTGCTCGTAACTACAGGGTGTTTCACACAACTTTACGAGGCTTGCGCCTAATGTACGTACCCAAATATACAAAAGTCACAAGACACTTGATACAAAATTACACGTTTAATTATTTAATTTTTGGAAACCCATGACACATCAAACTAATCACTGTTTCATTAATATCATTAAACTGCAGTTTTTCAAAAACAATTGTCATTTGTTTTATCAAGAGATGGCATGAATATAATTCTAGTTTATCTATCTTAATCACTAACTAACAAAAAACTTTGTAATTTTTTAAAGGGTGAACAAACTAGAGCTGATTATCCAAAATTTTTAAATTTGTAATCGAGTTCGTATCGGAATATGTATTATTGATTGCATCTTACAGGCGCAGGCCTCGTAAAATTATGTGAAACACCCTGTATATTGCCTCGCATTATAGTATATAGAAAAAATTCAAACAAACTGAGTAACAGACAATATCAAATTCATAAATATATTATGTATTTAAAGACGAACGCAAAGCCTCTCATCTTCGTTTACGCTTCTATGTCTTTTCAAATTAACTGAGAGAAGCACCAACAAAACGCTTTAATATCGCATAAACAAGCTCGAAAGAGCAATAACATGACGGCTTTGAAAAACTCTTAATCCAGCTGCCCACTCTGTTAATATTAACATTTGTGTTTCGTTCTGATCCCAGTAACAAGCTCATCCATTAAAGCCTCTCGCTATACGAAGTCACAAAAAGACAACTTTAACAATAGGATAAAAACCCTTATCACTGATTTAAAACGGAATCGAACACACCTTGTCCTGTAAAATGTACGCAAGCGCGAGCGTCGGGACGCCGTTCAGGGCTCTATCCAAGCTCAGTGTAAACTGAGAAGTCGCTTGTGTCGCTGTATCCGGATAAAGGGTTGCGAGGTGTAATGTAAGTTTGATGTAAATGCATGAGAAAGGTGCACAAGATGGGATTGTCTGCACTTTTTTATTAAAAGAAACTAAACCGGAAGGGTGTAGGCCAAGGAGTTGGAGGGGTCAATTATCTACTTTCCGCCAAAAAGCAATTATAACGGAACCTGATAACCTGCCATGAATGGGAGGTGATTAATGCGTTGGAAGCGAGTCATCACGTGTTCTTTGTTGATAATCACCAAATTTTCGCTATTATTTTACTATTTTTTATGATTGTTGTCGCACAATTAAAAGCACTCCAGCCTCTTTGGAAACTTATCAAAACCTCTTTTATGAAACTCCAATCCATCACAAAACTTATTTCATTATAAAGCCGAGAAGAAGTGAATTTATTGCTCCCCAACGCTCCAATGCAAGAACAAGATAAACCTTCTTTGCTATAAGACGATTCCAACTATTCGGAAATATGTTACAACATATCGAATCATTCAGCAAACTTATATTACAACCGATGCGTAAAAATTTCTATTGAAAGCATTTCAATGTAGACGCGTTGCTTCTTTGTTATCGTGGATGTCGACAAAAGACCATTCATGAATTTGCAATCGTCGAATTGATCGTGCGACTTTAAAAGTACAACTTCGATTTTTTACAAGCACGCAAGTTGAAATTCCAAGATAAACGATTTGGGTCATCTATCAATGGCAGGACTATTCCCAGAAGACGTTACGGACAAAATGTAAATGTCCTGGGTTTGTTAGCATCGTTGCGTGTCAATTTGACAAATAACGTTGCTCTAAGTGACACATTTAGCCGCAGAAGGAAACAAAATTTAATTATTTGCTACGGCTGCAAGAAAACAAGAAAATGCCTTTGGTATAACATAGAATCAATAATATTGCAAAGTGTTTCAATTGCGAAAAGTTTCATTTGGCGCAGGTGGTCACAATGGGAATATACTATATATACTATATATACTAGCTATACTAGCTACTATACTATACAGGCTGTTCCGTCTAAACCCCACATTAAAAGTATCAGGAGTTCGAATAATCATATTTGTTTGAAAATTGGTGCATATCTATAATGCATTAAGTCCTTCTAAATGAAAATATTTTCAAGATAGCGGCACTTCCGGTTATACCGGAAGTCGGTCTCAACTTTCCTATTTTAAATGTAAAAGTATATTTTTTACTGCGTTTTTGAATTAATCGGGTTATTTTAAGGGAGTTTTTATCAGCTTTTCCTATACTTAAATTTTTCAAAAATTTTTGGATCTGCACCTTCCATTTTAAATTCGGTAACTCTGCTATTTTTTAAAATTTAAAATTTAAAAAAATAGCAGAGTTACCGAATTTAAAATGGAAAGTGCAGATCCAAAAATTTTTGAAAAACTTCAAATATTTCGAAAACAGCTAAATTTAAGTATAGGAAAAGCTGATAAAAACTCCCTTAAAATAACCCGATTAATTCAAAAACGCAGTAAAAAATATACCTTTACATTTAAAATAGGAAAGTTGAGACCGACTTCCGGTATAACCGGAAGTGCCGTCATCTTGAAAATATTTTCATTTAGGAGGACTTAATGGTTTATAGCTATGTACCAATTTTCAAATAAATACGATTATTCCAACTCACAATACTTCTAATATGGGGTATTGACGGAACATCCTGTATACTAGCTGAGATCAGGTAGTTACATTTTGCCGTTATAGACAATATGACTAATATGACCTACCTTTAGTTTACAATATGTACATACAGGTGCGCCAGAACTCGGGCCCCAGAGAAAATTTTCAAGTAAGGAAAGATACCAGGAACATGAAAAAAATGTTTAAAAAAATTCTATTTGTCAAAAATTTTTTACATTTATTTTTTGACATTTGGCATTTTTTTATATTAATGATACTGATGATATTGTATATGTTTTTTTACAATTATTTAGTAAAGGGACAAAAATTTTGCCAACAAAAGCCACAAATAATATTGAACAGAGTTACAATTTAGGATACAGCGTCCTTGATTCCTCTTTTAATAGCTTATAGCAAAAAAACTTGGAAAATTATTTTTCCTACAGAAATAAACAGAGTAAAAGTGCAAACTTTAAACTCTCATTACTTCGAAATTTTTATAGATAAAATTTTTTTAACATTTTTTCCATGTTCCTGGTATCTTACCTTATATAACATTTTTCTCTGGGGCGCGAGTTCTGGCGCACCCTGTACATACACAAGATTCATAGAGTAACTAAATTTTTTACTCAATTTTTTATAATGACTTACGGGGTGCCTGTTCAAAAACATGCACTTTATTATCATTATGAGAAATTTTTCTCAAAAATAATAAATTGACAAAAAATTTAATAATAATCTAATTTTAATAATAATTTAATAAATAATATTAACATATAAATGTGTTATTTATTTGTCGATATTTGATCGTTATTTGATCATATCTCTAGTGTCTCTATGCTTGTTATGGCAACGATAAGTCTAGACCGTTAAAAGACGTTTTTAATTGTTACGCATGTTGCTATATAAAAGGTAGACTCGAAAGGCTACTTGCGTCTGAAATTTGACATTATTTGGCATTATGATTTAGAATGATTTTTCGAAAATCTTTTAAAACATATGGCCGATACGTTTATAACAGACGCGAGTTTACAAACTTCAATCATGTCCGTTATTTGCTACATATCGGTCTTATGACGTTAGTAATAACTACATGTATTAATTTTTATAAAGAAAATTAATATTCTAATCTTGAGATGATAAATCAAGATAAGTGAATAAATAAATTTATGAACATTTTGTGTCAATGTTAATTTTTGGGTGAAATGTTTCGCACTTAATATCTCGAGGCGCGCCGCTCTGCGTCATCTCGCGTTTAATGTTATTTATTATTTTTCTTCATTCATGCAAGGCATAATCTGGGTCAAGTATTAATTCATTTGTGGTAGACAATGTTTAAATTATTGAGTGGGTCATCGAATTACCACGCGTTATATTCCTTGATCGATTAGTGGTTGGTTTGAAGGTGTAAATCAATCATAGTTTACAGCGTCATTAATCTTCCAATTACAAGGAAGAATAACGGAAGAACTGAACAAAATTCAGACAATTTGTTGCGTTCCTACACACAAAACAGGGAAATTGACAATGTTTACCTAATTTCCCGTCACGGCAGGCAATCAATAAAAACACTTACGTGTTTACCCACTGAACACATGCACGTACAAAACGAATTAGTTGTGGAAGAGATTAAGGGTAATTATTGAGCATTATGTTGGCTGCAGATTAATTCGCTTATTTTGCGGCAAATTGTAATTAAGGATTCATTGTGAAAAGACAATTTAATCAAGTCCTTGCGGATTTTTCCCTCGGTGTACTATTTACTAATAGATTATTTATGTCTTGTGGCCTTGGGCTATACCCATGACACTCTGAATAATACAGTGTGTTATATTTATTGGGTGGTGCAATGTTTTCTGGCAATCCTGCTGCGTAGTTGTGGGAAAGAAATTATTAATAAAGTTTTTTATATTTACATGGAATAATCCAGCTTTTATATTATGTAAACAATACCGAGAAAATTGCATAAACAATCATTTGTTTATTTACAAGCAGAGTATGGTCGATTGATTTCGCCACCTCTGACTTCGTTATTGACTTGTTTATAATAATTTTCACATTGCGACTATACTTAATATTAATTATGTCCGGTCGATATTTGGGAAAATGACGTAAATAACATTTGCGGACAATTCGTCGAATCAATAAAGAAGGAGGATACAAACTGAAGAGAATATTATATTGACTAAGTACTGACTGCTCTCAGTGCTCTCTGCCCTCTGGGATGCATCATATTTCATTTACAATGCTTTTAAAGACGTGCTCTATAAAACATTTATATGTTTGGTTTAGTGTGATTCTAGCGGAATGAGAGAAATACTGAGAATTTTCCTCGTAGATTTGTTTTATCTATACATTTGACGTATATTGCAGTTCTGCCTGCATACTATAAGAGTTTGCAAATAATAACGTTTTATTCAAACGTAGGAAATTTCTCGTCTTATTTTAGATTAATTGAAAAGAGAGAAGAGTGCTAGGTACTCTTTCACTAGTGAGTTACAAATAAATCTGAATTGTCTGGTTCAGTTTTGATTTTTAATCAAGACAAACATACTCTGTGTTTGTCTTATTATTTATATAATATACGAGTATTATATGATTGTAAACTAATACTCAATATTAAAACTTATCTCTTTTTTTGAAAAAACGTGTTGAGTTGTAACACGATAAAGTGGGGCTCGTAATTTAGTTTTGTGATGGGAGGTAATTATTCACTTGTTAAAGTGCTGCACCAGGAAATGCAATATAATAATAGCTAAATAGGAAACAACAGACTTTTGTTCGAAATTATAATAAGACTCTTAGTTTTATTACTTCATTTTTTAGCACGAGTTTACTTTTTATGCACTTCGTAATCAAAACACTGTTTTCTGTTAAAGTAATTAATTCAGAAAACAATAACTGTGCTTAAAAACACAAATTGGGCTGCTTTATAATATAATTATTTTTACAAAATCTTTTGTGCTGTGAGAACGAAAAAAATTCGAATTGTGTTAATCAATTGGACAGCAAAATTAGTTTTACGAATTCAAAAACTAAATTTCTAGTTGATTTTCTAACTATTTTATAAACGTAAAACTAAGAGAGTTTTCAGCAATTTAGTATGAAAGCTTTAATTAATTAATTAGGAAATTCATGTTGGGCATTTTGTCAGTTAAAACTGTAGTGCTTAGTTTGAAATCATAATTTAGTTTGACATTTGCAATGTGTGTATTTTCAATAAACTTTCTGTTCTGTTAATAAGTGAAGTAAAAAGTAATATGACACTAAGATTTTTTTTGTATTTCTTCTGCAGAAACGCAATTTGCAGCAGTACTTACTAACAGAATAATAATTGTTAGAAAAGTGTAAACAATATCAAAGTAAAATAAAACAAGCAAGGAAGAAATTCAATACTTTAGCATTTAAATTAAATAATGATTACGTTATAACTACAAAGTGATTCACAATGAATGAATCTGTTGGCAATCCTGACTCTAGTTTTTAAATGAAGTACGCTTTTGATTAACAACAATTCAACAATCAATTACCAAAAATACTTCCAAATCTGTTACCAACAGACATAGTCTTTCTAGATCACTTCATATAATGCTATTGTACTTTATTATATGTATTTTAGAACTATGAACCGGTTTCTAAGTATCCAAAAGCGGGCATAATTTGGCTTATACAGGGTCGCTAAAAAGTATGGATACAACTAAATATTATAAAAGCTTTTTATCAAAACTTATTGAAATTTGGTATATGCTTAAAAGCATTTAAATTCTAGCGCCTCAAATGAGGGGGCTACAAGGCTAACTTGATTTTTTTTTTAATGGCAAGAAGAGTCGAATTTAATATTTTTAAGATCTTTTTTTTCTGAGTTCTGTAATGTAGCACATGCACTCGCACATGCATATCTTATTTTAGTCGTAAATTATTTAACTAATTAAATTTTGAAAAATGTAAATTTTTTTAGCCTTGGAAATGTTGTCTTTATCTATCGTTAGTTCTTTGCCATCTGAATTTTGACTAAAAGACAAGTAAACTGTACTCTGCTAAACAGTTCTGAAAATATTTAGCTGTATCCATACGTTTTAGCGATCCTGTATACATAGACACCCTTGGGTTTTTTCTTATACTTAACCAATTCTTCTATTAAACTGAATCGCATGGTATCCATATAACCACGTTAAAATAGGCGATCTTAATTTTTGTAAATATTAAATTATTCTTATTTAAGAAAAACAAAACGCTGTGCAAAATACAGTAAAACGTTGAATGTACCACAGGCATAATTGTCAATTATGGCCCTCAGGGAATTAAAAGCCCCCTAAAGTCGAGCATTAAACATCTCTTCGAGTCATAATCTCCTTGTTATGCTCTTGGTTCATAAATAATTATTAATTTTTTGTAAAATAATAGTTTTCATACTGGCTTTTTATCTGGGAGGGTAATCAAATTGATCAAAAATCATCTTGTTGTGAAAATAGTAATTTAAAAGCGATCCAAGTTACAAAATTTAAAAAAATAATTATTTTTTTAATATCACAATAAAGTACATAATACAATACCAGGTGAACAAAAAGTATGGAACATCATTTGCTTAAACTATTTATTTTTTTTTTTAAACTAATTGATAAATGATAAAGTACTATAAAATAATGTAACGTTTTTTTAAGAAGAAGTTTTATTTAATTTTTTTGTTTTTGAGTTCTGCCAAATGTTTGAATTGTTTTAAAACTTTTTTTTATAAAGGTAATGATCTAATAAGGATTACAACTACATACCTACATTTTATTCAATTTTCCCAAAAAAAAACCGCATGGTTTATATACTTTTTGTTCACCTTGTATATAGTTTTGTTTGCAGAAGTTGTAAACAACAAGAAACTCAAGATACTGTATATAGGTTTTATGTTTTGATCTAATCAATATGTGTCAAATGCCAGAAAATACCTACCTGTTTAGTTCGATGATTTGTTTATTGATTTGACCTGAGTTGGTGGTCACTTTTAAACTTTAGGTCATTATCTAACTAAAATAAATTTTAAATGACTAAATATAGTTTATGTTTATGTATATTTTTTTAAAATGGTTTTTTAATAAAGTTTTTAGTATACTTTTGCTACTTAAACAAGAGTCTGAAAAATTTATTTAAGCCTATAAAATATTTGCTTATTTTTTTAGCGTCGTTCACCTTCGACTTCGACAAGTTGGTCTAAAGGGTCAAAACAACGTTCAACTTTTTTGTAAACTCGATTTTATCAACTAAAGACTCTCTTTTGGGCTTAACAACAACTAATGAATAACAAGTCAAAGAAACATTCATTCGGGCTATTAAACTTCAAAGTCGTTCTCAGCAATTTGCATATAAACTTGTTTGTAGAGTCAATTTAAGATGTCCGTTACGAAAGTTTTGCAAGCTAATTGAGTTATACTCGACACATACCACTTTTATTATTTCTCGTTCAAACCAGATGAGGTGCAAATGCTAAAACGCCATTTTCACTTTTGTACGTAATCAATACTAAGACCTTGATCTAGGTATATTTTTATTTAATTGCACGTATAGTTAATTGTTATACAACACCATTTGTACGATAAGGGAATCTCGACAGATGAAGCTCCAAAAGCTTCCGGTGATTGATCTCGAGCTGAATGGAAAATCCTCGAGTAAATCCAAACAATAGAAGCAGAAGTTTGTGTTGATTAGTTGCTGCCAGTCACGAATTGAAATAGGTCTGTACATACACTTGTATCAGCTTGTTTAATTCTGACTAGGGTGGAGGAAATTGCAGAAAGTTGGACTGATCTCTGTCCCCAGAGAAACTATAAAGCTTAAAAACAAGGGCACTTTTTGCGAGTCAGGTTTTCATATAGTTTTTTTATTTTGAGTCATCACAAACTAAAACTAGTCTCATGACCCAATAACCTGCCTTTCAATTTTTTCACCACTGTCACTTCAATTTACAATATTTCCCCAGCTTTATGAAAGCCGTAACTCTTTTAATAAAACATGAGATGGAATCGAGAGGATTCCTTCAAATATGTTTGGCCACTTTGCGATTGTCCCACTCAATTCTCTCTTTTATGCTTCTTTTTATGGGTCTTTAAAGCCGTATCCGCTGAATAACCCGAGGGTAAGATGCAGCTAAGTTAATTAGGCGCAAACTGTTGAACTTTGTTAGAGAGGCCATAGAGCATACAACTTTGCAATACTGCATGAATTGGGACAGTTTGAAAACGTGTTTGAAATTTCGTTATCCGACGATAAAAAACAGTGGGTTGTGTGTACTCAGTCGAGAAGCTTTGAACCGAATTGAAATTTCCACGGATTTTGCTTGTTCATATTTGTTGGTAATAAATTTTTGTTTGAAACGAAACCGAATCAGTAAATGGCTGAATAAATGAAACGACGGCTTTTATTTTATTTATCTCGATTGCGCGTGCTGAAACGTTAATTGTGCTGTAAAAACTCAATATGATGCAAACAAAATCATTATTATTAACATAAAACTAATGTATTTTTGGATTTAAAAATAAACTTTTCTAAAAATCATAATAATATTATAAACAGTAATAAATTAACGCAGGTAAGTAATTATATTTCTCATTAATTGTGGCACCAGGACTGGAACAAGGTACAAGGTCTTTAGCTTTAATAAACTTAGGAAAGAATAGTTTTTGAACAATAATGACGAATAATGAAAAAAGTTTTTTAATTATTGAGAGATTTCTTGATAAAAACACTATTCAACTTTTAAATTTTAAATAATACCAAGATTATCATTATTTTGGCCAAGCTCGGTATACTGGTAGGTGGTAAACATATCAGATTCTTTAATTTGTCATTAGTTAATTTAATTAAAAAAAAGTTTTATTTAATTTATTTTGCATTTTACTCATTACATAGTGGGTAGCATGAATAAAATGTAGCAAAAGTTTTTACTATAGTTTTGTCTCTTTCTTTCTCATAAAATTTAAATTACGTGTATCTTTTACTATTGCAAATAGCAGCATTTACTTAACTTTATTCATACGGCCCACTGACTAGAATTTTTTTGATTATCATTATCGAATATCAAATTAAGGTATTATTGGTATTATTTACAATGTAAAAGCTGAATAGTGTTTTTATGAGGCAATATCTCGGTAATTAAAAAACTTTTACTGACTTTTTTTTCACTGTTTCTCATTGTTGGGCAAATTAAGACTCACCCTGTATATTACTTATTTTAACCCTTTTTACTTTTAGTCGAAATAAGAAATACAAAAGCTACCCGGTGTTGAGCTTCCATTATTACTTCTCTAATGAAAGAAATGTGACGTTAAAGAAAATTCTTTTTCGAGATTTTGATGGAAAAATATTTTTATAATTTCCGCATCTTTGAGTGTAATGAGTTGAGTGGACCCGTCACGTGTTTCTATGTAAATTTCAGGAATAAATTATTCTATTTTTAGAAAGGTTGATGCTTCTTTGGCGTTTTTATTTTCCTGTTTTAATTGATTTGAATTGCGAATTGGGTGTTGCCCTCACAGAGTGTGAATATGGCTATAGCTTTAAAATATTAAGTTGTTAAAAAAAAGCTGTGCTTCCATGAACAATACTTTCATCAAATTATCGAAATGTTTTGCAACAAGCTTATAATAAGATTTTGATTTTAGAAATTCAGCCATTTACTGCTATGTTTCTCAAAACTTTCCGACTTCAAACTTTCTGAAATTAGCGACGTTTATAAAAATTAACGTCCATTTATAACAATAAAAATTCACTTGCAACTCAAACAATCTGCAATTATATTATATACTGAGTTAAGGGTTTTGGTCTTTGTTTACCAATAATTAATATTTAGAAATTATACCAACCGTATATTCGTAAATATTACAAATTTTGCTGCAGATATCGTAAATTTATCTCGTCGTTTAGTATCCCCAGTGGACACATTCTCTTCTCATACCACGTCTCTTTTTGAATTTTTCAACCTTTATTGATTTTTCTTTTAGTACAAATTTACTTTTATGTTTATTGTCCGTCGATTCTCAAATGACGCGGAGTGGCTTCCCAAAAGCATTTGTACAGCAAGTAAGCTGTTTCATCGTTATTTGCTCCTTTTTTATCCTTGCAACTCATGTAAATCTTTATTGCTTCGTCCTTCTTCATGTCTTTAGGCACCTTTTTTCTGAGTACATCGACTTGCAACTGACCAGACTGGTTTACTATTCCTACCGAAAGCAGCATGCAACCGAAATATTTCTGAGTTTGAGGGTCGTTTGAGAATTTCCCATTTCGGACTTTAGCAATCACATCAGCGTTTGCTCCGGAGGAAGCGAGACACTTCTTATGGAAGTCTTCTTGTTTTGCTGCGGTCTACAGTACTAACTTTAGATTAATTCCAAAGAGATAGGGTTTTTACCTGTGCCAACAGAAGCGTATTGATTACGATAAGAAGCACGAGACGATTTTCCATGACTGAAGAGTGACTGCCGGAAATAAGTGTAAATTGGTTTTATAGCTTTTAAGAGGAAATTGTTTTGTTATCGGTTCTCAGTTGCCGTCATTTGGATAATTAAGGGTTCCGATTACAATAGTGAATGTTACAATTTTGTGGTTTATAACAATATAATTCAATTTAACATAATTGAACAGAAATAAATTACCTACAATTTTTTTAACATAAAATAAGTATTTTAATAGTAATTGTTGTACCAAGGGCATAATAAAGAGATTATGACTCAAAGGAATGTTTGACGTTATTAGACATTTAATTTCCTGAGGGCCATTAGCGACAATTACGCCCGTGGTACATACAACGTACTATTGTACATATTTTTTTTGGTGTAAAAATTGAGATCAAGTGTGTTATAAATGGTTATAAAATTCTAGCGCTTATAAAAGCCAAATTATGCCCGCTTTCGGGTGCTTAGAGACAAGTTTATAGTTACAAATACAATAATAGTTATTTATTGTACCTATAAGTGTTTTACGCCTAGAAAGTATTTTTTCACACAAGAATTTTTATCACTGAGGCGTTAGCTCCAATGTTTAAATGAATAACATACGACTAAAACACGAATGTAATACAACGTTTTATTCGCAATCAATTTAATTAAAGAATAATTTGATATTTTAATATTACACTGACTGTTATGTGAAAACTCAATGAAACTTGGAATTTGGTTGTGGCTAAAATGTATTTTGCATTCGTGTTTCAGTCACTTAACTTGGTGTAAATATAAGAATGTGAGTGTTAATAATAATGTTATAGATAGTTATTAACGAATGTATGTACATACCAGGTGAATAAAAAGTATGGAACCAATCGATTTTTTCGTAAACTAAGCACTTTACGAAAAAAATAATTAGTGTAGCGTAAAGTCCAATTAAAATGTGACCATTTATCAAGAATAACATTTTTCGAAATTTCTTTTAGTTTTCGAGTTCTGGAAAAAAAAATTTTAAATGGCAACCCACCATGGTAATTTTTTTAATTAAAGATTATGATCTAAAAATGACCTCTAATTAAATAAAATTGTTTTTTAGCCAGTACTTTTTTTTTAATTAATTGTGAAAATTGCGTTCCGAGCTCATCACGAAGATTTTCCGATCTTAACCGAAGTGGTTGTTTCATACTTCTCATCATGGGAGAGCGCTGATTTCTATGCAGGTGCTTTGGGGTGGTTTCGAATCGACTAAAAATAGAAGAAAATGATTTGTTTTTACATTTTTTGATCCATCCGGAACCACTCCTGCACCAAAAACCGGACTCTCCAACGACCAAAGTCATGAAACGACTCCTTCGTTCAAGTTCGGAAAATCTTCGTGATGGGCTCGGAACGCAACTTTAACAAATTATTAAAAAAAAAGTACTGACTAGAAAACAATTCTGTTTAATTAGAGGTCATTTTTAGATCATAATCTTTAATTAAAAAAATTACCATAGTGGGTTGCCATTAAAAAAAAAAAAAAATTCCAGAACTCGAAAACTAAAAGAAATTTCGAAAAATGTTATTCTTGATAAATGGTCACATTTTAATTGGACTTTACACAACACTAATTATTTTTTTTTTGTAAAGTGCTTAGTTTACGAAAAAAATGCTTGGTTCCATACTTTTTATTCACCTGGTATGTACTTACATACCTAGTAATGTAATCTCACAACAGCCGCAGATGTCAATTGAAATACGAGCGAGCTTGCGAGTTATAAACAATTTTTTTTAAATATTTTTTTCTCGTAGGTATTTGCCACATAAAAGATACTTTTAGTAAAATAAGTTTTTTTTGAAAATTCCGAAGGCATACTTTTCAAAACTAAAAATATGATAGAAATTAAATTAGACCAAGCGGGGCTGATTTTCAAAAAGTAAAAATTTAAATCGTTATTTTTTTATCTCTTACAAGAGTATATTATAATTATAGCATAGTTGTTGCTCTTGACTTTGATAAAAGATACAAAGATTAGCATTAATTTTGTAGAGATATGCAAAATATATGTTCAGTACATGAACGGTGAATAAAGATTTACATATAGATATTGCAAAAACTAATTTATTTTTTGTGACAGTGAAAAAGATTATAAGTAGTACATGCTGTCAGAAAAATTCTATTTTAATATTATTGATCGTTTTGTTTTCAATTGTAATTTTTTATGAAATTTCAACCTCGGTTTATTTTTTTTTTTTTTGAATGATTCTCAAGAGAGCGAACTTTGATTTTATTATATGAATTCACCTATTTTGCATTTACAAATTGCCCGACTTTTCCAATAGGAGCAAAGACTCATTAACAGTAAACAACAGAAATATTCAACGCTGCACCAGAATGATCTTTTGTGTGTTAGTATAGGAAAGAGAATAATGAAATCAAATATAAATTACAAAAGTTCAAATGATCTTTTTGAACAGACTTCAGGGTCAGGATATAAGTAGTGCGAATGTAGACAATAAATTTATTGGTAGGTCAGAAGAGCGAGTGTGGGCTAGATAAAATGTGACGGTTTCGAAGATGCTATTGGAAGGTATCGACCTGGAAAATAACGCAGTGGAAATTTATTGGAATGAGGGGCTTGACAATATTAAAATTTGTGATACAGGTTTGTTAATAAAAATAATGTAGAATCGTATTCAACTATTCAAAAAGTCACTTGAGAAATAAGCCTATTCAAGCATTAAAATCACTATAATTATTTATGCAAACTAGTAGGAACAAGTTATGTCAGACGGCGGGCGTCACGAGTGAACTCAGTGCAAATGAGTAAGCGGAAAAGGTCGTTATGTAATTATTATTGTTGTGGTCATGCATCTTATAATTCTATTAATATTAAGTTTATTCAATTATTTCTAAGAAGCGTCTGGAAATTTAAACACTTTGGACTTTGAACGACACCGTTTTGATTTGTTGTTACTAAATAGTGTGGATTAAAAAAAACAGAAGTGGGTAACCAGTAAGAAGAAAAAACTTGTTAGATATATGGAGGATCAAAATTTGAATACGGTGATCGAATAATTTTATCATCAACGTGTCCAATTAATTTTTTATTAGTCTATAATTATTTACATTATTGATTAGCAATTTCAGGCTACACAATAATCAATATGAACAATATCATTTTTAGTTTTTATTTGCTCTCACATTATACTGTTTATTGCATTTTAATGTACAGTGAAACTATTAAAAGCATTTATTACATGAGCAGTGTTGAAACAAGTTCACAAGGATAATTACCATTAGAAAACGCTTTAGGTAATGCACCTTAATGTATGCGTCCCTTTAAGATAAGACCGGGGCATTATCCTTGATGCCCGTTACTATATCGACCGGTGCATGTACATATTTCTGTTTCCACTGTTTTGTTGAAAATGGAGAACCAATTTCAGTTTAAAGTTTCAGACATTTTGGGATGGGATTTAATCTTAGGGGAGGATATTAAAGGATCAGCTTTATTACTTTACTCATGTTTTACCACTCTCGACGTTTTAAATAAATTATTGCCGTAACAGCATCTCAAGAGATAACTTGAAGGTGTATAAAGGACAAGCAACGATTCTCTTGACAATTTTTAAATTACCGTTAGCCTTAAAATTCCTTCTATTAACACGATTTTGTGGGATTATACTGGTATAGACCAACATCTATCTCAAAAATACATACTTTATTGAGTTATTGATAATGCAAACGTTTAGTGATTATAAGGAGAAAACCATGGTGCACGCTTATGCAAACAAATTGCTGTCTTCATTGATGCTGTCATTGTAATATCGTGTTTGTTAACACAATTTTCAGCAATATCTTCAATTAAATTTTTATCGTCCTTACCCTTTGCAAGTTTCTGTTTCAGTATGTCCATATTGAATTCTCCTTTTAGATTTTGCATTCCTTTTTTATAGAAAATGCACGCTGCTACACTTGGCCAGTGTTCAGGTTTTAACCCTCCGATAACACTAGGGTAACATTCCATTTTTTGTATTTCTTCATGATCAAAAAAACTAGCCTTGAAAATTAGAGTAGTAACAAGAAAATATAAAAGTAAGTTTTACCAAAGAAGAAGAAACCAAAAAAGCAACAAAAACTATTTTTTGCATTGCAGTACTGAATTACACGAATTTTGAAAAAGTTCCTTTTTATTTAAGTTTTTATCAGTTCAATCTTGTTATAAACTATTTAAATGACCAGTAGTTTAGCATTTTATAGGTCTAATGTTATCGTTATTGCAACGTTCAATGATTCTTGAAATTATCCTATTAATATTACTAAGAATTAAACAAAAACCATTATATTTTTACTCTAATTGTTTATTTTTCTTATTTAACATCAAGCAACAAACTCATTTATTATTATAGACATTCCAAAATTCCTGAAAAGTCAAGCAATGAGCCCGATTTAATCAACGACGGAGAAGTTGGGTTTGTTGGCGTGTAAGCACTTGTAAACTTCGAAAGCCGTTTCTTCCGGTGTTGGCTTTTTCACAACACATTTTTGGATGATTTTATTAACTTCATCGTCATTAGCAGCGACTTTTTTCAATTTGGTTTTAAGATTGTCCATATTGATTTCTCCAGCTTCAGTGGCAAGGCCAGTTTTTTTGGAAACACAGTAGATTTGAGCTTTCAATTTGGGGTCATTGGTCAGTTCACCAGTGCGTGCTTTGTCAATCAATTCCTGCGACACTCCTGATTGATTCTTGCATTCTTTGCTAATCTTGTCGAGTTTTTCTTTTTGGTCTTGTGTCAGAGCCTGGAAGCTTTCACTAAGCTGAACACAGAAAATATTTAAAAGAAACTTACGTTAACTGCAACGATGACAAAGAGGAGGCACACAAGAAATTTCATTTTGCTGCTATGTCTTCAGTCGAGATAGGTACAATGTTGTTGGAAAGATAGTCGAGGGACTTATATAGAGAATTATCTAGTTTATTCTGACAATCAGTCATAATTGAGATGCAAGTTCAAGGATTATTCCTTTGTCCTATGGGCTCAATTCAAAATGCACTGGTCAACAAATTTATTTTAATTGAAAGACATTACCCTTCGAGGCGAAATGGAAATTTTCAAGAGCCTCGCTATGGAAATGACCTGTAGGAACGACAATTCGGAATTATCCAATTTAATTTTTTCGTCTTTAAGTGCTATTTATTACACTCCCACTTCCGAACCACTCCACACTAGGATCGTCTTTGTAAACACGAATTAAAAAATAATACAAATTTAATAATCTTACAAGTATAGACGTAGAGATATTTTTTAATTAGATGAGGTCAATACTCTTCGAGATAAAGGAAATAATAATAATTACTTAAGAAGAAAATCAATATAGTTTGTTCTTCTGACCTTAAAAAGTAAGTATTTTTCTTGTATGTATGTACTTCTAATAAACACACTAGGGATCTGCAAAAAATTATAAAACCTACGAAACAAAACTTTTATTTCTACACAACCAAACACATTTGTACGAAAACTCCAAACTTTCTCATTAGAACGTTAACACAAATCATTCAACTGCTGAAAACTTTGGTTTGTTCTTCATGACACATTTTATTGTTTCAAACGCTGTTTCCTCGGGAGCTTGTTTCTTGATCGCGCATTTGTGGTAAATTTTATCAACTTCTTCATCATTATCAGACACTTTCCTCAGTTTGGATTTTAACACGTTTTCGTCAACTTGTCCAGATTTAGTCATTATTCCCACTTTCTTTCCTACACAGAGAATTTGGAGTTTGAGTTTAGGATCATCTTCGAAATTGCCGTTACGTGCATTAGTTATAGTTTCTTGAGACACTCCGGTCAAAGTACGACATTCCTTGCTAACTTGGTTTAGTTTTTCAGTCTGTTGTTCAGTTAGACCCTTCAGAAATTTTAATAATAATACAAATAGGAAATCTATGGAGTAAACTTACCTGTGCACCAATTATTATCACAAAAGTGAAAGTTATACAGACGAAGCAGTTCATTATGATCGTTTTAATGTGTTTCCACACAATATTAGATTCCTTTATTTATACAAAAGTAAAATTATTATCATTGTTGTCAAGTTCAAAGATTCTTCCTGTTATCACAATATTATTTTTTTTATTTTTAATGTAATATAATATTCCTTTAGTTAATAAACACTATTATCGATTAAACAAGCATTTAATTTGCCAATTTTTGTTTTTATTTGTCATTTGTATTTCATTAGTGGATTTGTATCATATTGATCTACTATGTACTTAGTTGTATAAAAATTGGAAATACGATAAGAATAATATGGTGCTTTCTGATGATTAATCTTTCTTATTGCAATACCTATATGTATAATTTTAAAATTACATTTAATTTAATAATTTCTAAAACAGTTATGTGTTTGTTCTTATGCAAACAGGTATGTCGAAACAAGCTTCATAACTAAATTAAGATATTTTGTTTATATAAAATTGACTTTGAACATGCACTCTTCAAGTATTTTCTCTTCTGCTGACATTCCTTCGTTTATGGCCTTTTGCGTATTAAATGAACTTATGAAGTTTACAAATGATTCTCTACATACTTTCATAAGGTTGACCCGATCTTCATCCTATGTGCTGATTGGAATCTACAACGCGTTTTAGCTAAAAGCTACTTTTGCCTATTTGCTTACCTGAAAAGCACCACAGGTGATCACCAGAATTTCAAAAAACACGAAATTCATATCCAGACGTTTGAAGGAATAAGTACCTAATCAAATAATTAAAAAAGGGATACATTTATTGCTGTTGAAAACAATTGGTTTAATAAAAGTATATTACCATAAGATAACATTTTATTGGCTGGAGTAATTGCACAGGTGATTAATTGACTGGAGAGAAATTCGGTTTGATTTTTCTCAAACAGGCGAATATTTCGAAAGCTGTTTCTTCGGGAGTGATTTTCTTGACGACACATTTTTGAATGATGTTGTTCACTTCATTGTCACTCTCACTTACTTTGCGTAATTTGGTTCTCAAAATTTCTACGTTAGTCTCACCCGTTTCGGTAGCAAGGCCGGTCTTCTTGGAAACACACAAAATATGGTTTTTCAATTTTGGTTCGTTAACTGCTTCTCCTCTTCTGACTTTAAGGATAATGTCTTCGGAGATTCCGTTCAGTTCTCGACATTCTTTGCTAATTGGTTCCAACTTATCTACTGATTCTTTAGTCAAAGCCTGGAAGCAAAACTCTATTAAAAAATACAATAGCGGAATAAGTGCTTACCTACCAAAGCTCCGACTAAGACGAAGACAAAGAAAATTATGGTTTTCATTTTTATTACCAGTTCTTTTGCAAAAAGGCTTTTTATACAAGAAATTATCACTTTGTTATTTGCTATTATAGACTTGATGATAGATTATGTAAGTGTTGGGAGGTTTCCTTATATGGTGCTAAGAGGAACAACAATAAAGAATATATTGACTTTAGGCCATCCACTTGTTAGTGGTCTTATCATTTTTATTACATGCTTTATTTATAAACATTGGTTTTTACTTTTATAGTATAAAAAAAATATTATTTTTTTGTTTATGTGCTCCACTTGTGTAGAAAAATAAAACTAATGTATCTACTTTAATTTTTATTTTGTGTGTTTTAGAAAACTACATTTAGGGCATTATTCTTCCCAATTCTGTGGGTCATATTCAAACCTGTTGTTCAAAGATGATTCCAACATTTTTCTAACATACTCGATTTTCTTTTTACAATTGTAAAGCTTATCGTATTCCAACGGTAAATGATCGATAAAATGATTATCTGTAGCAACTTGTATTGCTTGATATTCTTCTTTGCAATCTATATTTTTAATTACAGGACACTCACATGACTCTACGCGTTTAAAAGCATTATTGAGGTCAAATAAATTACAATGTTTTAAGATATTTTCTTCTTCAATTTTTACATCTACACCAAGAGTGCGCCTTTGGATGTACAAATTGATATCATCTTTGCATTCGATGTTACAATTTATCTGCGCAATAATTATTACAAAATTTTTAATAATAAAAGTTAAATATACTTACTTGTGATGTAAATGTAAGTATTACAATCAAATTCGTTAAAGCTTTCATTATTTACAAATTTTACACTACTGTAGTTGGTTCTTTATCTTTAGATATCTGCATATAAACCCATTTTTGTCACACATCATTAATAAAGTAATACTAATTAACGTAAAATTTTATGCAAATGACCATTTTTTAATACACTTTTAAACATTAATTAATCCACAACAATAGGACATTAATGTCATTCTGTTGATATAACAATCATGTAAAACAGTCTTTAGACAGTAACCTCAATTTTAACATTAACCATTTTTTAGACATTTTTAGAAAGTCAAACTAGACGTCGATTTAGCCTGCTTTATTGTAATATTTAAAAGTACAAAACGTCACATTTTTTTTGTTTCCAGTGATATACTTGCTGTTGCTACATTTTGTCATTTTTTTTTTCTAAAAGTTGCAAAAAATATTAGTTTATTATCTGAAAAATATTTACCTACTATATAAATATAATAATTATAATGCGTGTTTTTTTGAAATTTGTCATCAAAGCTAGCAATGAAGTTTTGATCGTGAACGAATCATCGAATTGTGCTTAGATTTGTAACAATAAAAACGGAACAATTTGTAGGTATTATACAATTTAAAACCGTGAATTTCCTGAAATTAAACAAATAAACTGCTCCACAAAAATTAAGGAAGTCGCATTATTTTTACAACAAACAAATTCTATTCTTCTAAGCATTCTGGAATCCAGCAAAAACATAAAAGTATAAAGATATCTACTTTTATCTCACTTTTATTTAATTATTAATTTATTTTTTAATAATTATTAATTTAATTAATTATTGTAATTATTGCACACTTTCTTAACTTGATGAAGCAGTTTAGAAAAACACTTTATAAAACCGACATTGAGAATTTTTTTCTTTTATTAATGTGTTATTATTGTGTTATGAATAAATAAAAAGATACAATTTACTTTAAATTTTATTTAAGTATTTATGTTTCAACAAGCTATATTTATTAGGTATATTTATTCATTGCTGGTATCATAATAGTTTTTTGAAGCTTACGTAAGCCTCTGCTTACAAAGATAAAATTTTTCATATTCAAGTGGTAAATCGTCGTAATTTCGACGGTCCGTGGCAACCAGAATTGCATCATATTCTTCTTTGCAATTTATTTTATCACTCTCATTGAAATCGGTCATGTAATTGTGTATCACTTGTATTGGTTTATCCTGATCAATTGCAGACGTTGTAGTACAATCACATAACTGTATTCGTTTAAAAGTGTCATCGAAGTTAAACAAATTACAATATTTTAAGATTTTGTCCTCTTCACTTTTTACAACCATACCGAGAGAACGCCTATAAATGTACATATTGATGGCATTTTTGCAATCATAGTTGCAACTTATCTGCGCAAAAATAATTACAACATTTTCAATCATAAAGGCTGGTTTACTTACTTGTGCTGTAAATATGAGTATTACAAAAAAACTTATGAAAACCTTCATTAGTTACAGTTTTCTCCTTTACTGTGATTAGTGTTTGTGTAGATTTCTGGATTTATAAACTATTTTTTACAAGCCATAATAAAGTAATACCAATTAACTATAAAAGTTAAATTAAAAGACATTAATATGAATAAGATATAAAATTTTATGCAAACAGCCATTAAACACATTTCAATACCTTTTGAAATATTAATTAGTGTAGGTATTTGCACGTGTATCGGCCATAAAATGTCAATTTTCAAAAAAAAAATGGGCTGTAACGAATAAAAAAGAAGCTTGGACAAAAAAACAAAAAGTCAATATGAGTATTGTGAAATCTTATTTGAAATCTCTTAAATCCGCTATATTTATAATAGTTATTTATGTATAAAGGGCATAATTAGGAGATTATGGCATGAGGGAATGTTTAAAGCCTGATGAACGAGGGCTTTTAAATTCCCAAGGGCCATAATCGACAATTATGCCCGTAGTACATACAACGTTTTATTCTATTTTATAGTTTCTAAAAGATTCAAACAAATATTTAGAATCCCTTAAAGGAAATCAACTAAAATTTTAGTGTTGTGTAGAAAGTTAGCTATTTTGATGTTGTTAAGGTTACTGCGTTTGTTCAAAGAACAATTCATTTTTCGAAATGAACGTTTCTGAAGCAAAAAGCGTTTATTCAGAAGAAATTTCCAAGAAGTTGAAACTGCTCAGGGAAAATTGATTTCCCATAAATCAAAGGATTTGTATGTGAAAGAATGTGACAAGTTTTGATTCCATTGTTTGAATAATTAAACTAACCGTTGTTTGTCAGATTTTTGACAGATCTGTGCCATAAAAACCAACTTATACCCTCATTTGAGGGCAGATAAAGATGATTATTGACTAAAATAGAATAAAAAAATTAAAAAGATGTTTTATATTTTCTGAAAAATACATCTTAAACTTGCTAAGTTTTCTTTTATTTTTAGTAGCACACAAAACACTAGGTATTATTTTCAAAAATTCAAATAAAATAATTTTTAAGTATTAAAATGATTGCAAATTTTAATTTTGTGCATGCTTTACCGAATTCTTTAGGTCAAATTAAAACTCAAAATTTTTGCCATGAATAAATTATTTTTTTTTAAACAAAAACAAAAGCAGCTTTCTGTTATAAATATACAGGGTCGCTAAAAAGTATGGATACAACTAAATATTTTCAGAACGGTTAAGCAGAGCACGTTAAACGGTAACGATAGATAAAGACAACATTTACAAGGCTAAAAAAATCCTTTTTTCAAAATTAAATTACTTCGATAATTTTTTCTTAAATAAGAACTCAGAAAAAAATGATCTTTTTAAAAATAATAATTTTGACACTTAACATTTAAAACAAATCAACTTAGTCTTGTATCTTGAGAACAAATGGAGAAAGAAGTTTGATAAACATCTAAGGCGATAGAATTTAAATACTTTTAAACATATACCAATTTTCAATAAGTTTTGATGAACAGTTTTTAAAATATTAAACTGTATCCATAGTTTTTAGCGACCTTGTATTTGGATGATAGGTGATAGGGACAAACAACTAGTAACAGACATAAGGTTCTATTTGTTTAGTTCTTCACATATAATATTTGTGATCAAGACTTGCTTTTTTCTGAGCCTGAAGGCTTTTTTCCTTATGAATACATCTGTAAAGATCTTCCAATTCTTGAGGTAGTCTGTTCTTGGAAAAGTCAACTTGGGCAGCTTGAGCAATGGTAATTTCAGATTTGCAATACATCTGTTTTGGTTTGTCTAATTCATAAATATTTTGTTCCTTCTTATTGGGACATTTACATTGCACTTCAGAATGGAATGAAGCAACTCGATTATCTGAAATAGGGAGAACTTCACATTGTCGATATACTTCCCATTGAGTCAAAAAATCGACACTGCTTTTTTCTTTCTGTTCTTCAAGGTACATGCGAAATGCACCTTTACAAGTAGCGTAACCACATACGGTCTAAAAGAAAAAATAGAAAAATAAAAAAGCAGAAATGTACGTAACATTTATTCCTACCTGTAAAATGGTGACTAGACCTAACAACAGAATTACAAACAGATTCATTTTTCGTAGTTTCAAATGAGTTAAACCTCAAGGTTTGCTTTATATAAGAAAGTTTTGCTTAAAAACTATTAAATCTTTTATCAGTAAATACTAAACTTATATTGCCAAAAATATCAAGTAGTTTTTGGACTGTAAAAACGAATAACAAATAACAAAACCTTAAGAGTCAATAAATCCTATATATTTCAGAATATTTCTTTACGAATGTGTAGCTAGACAACACATTTGATCTTAAGAAAAAATTTTAATACTTACTGTAATAATTGCTTTAATGTATTTTACAATAAAAAACTTGATATTAGTATGGTCTTTAAATCTTTACGACAAATAATATGTGAGGTCTTTCAAATTTTTATAAAAACAAATTAATATTTCCTTTTACACACTGTTCAAATATCGTATTTTTGCCCATATTTACAGTAAATAGCCAAATTGTTTAGAGTTATTTAACAATTTCATTTTCTTGTTTTCGATGTATTTTGAAAATTTTCGCTATTTAAAAGTGTATCCATTGTTCTAAGTATAATAAAAATTAAACAAATAAGTAATAATTATTACCTATAAAAACCAATCAACACGTCGAGTATGATATTAGTTGTAAAAATGAAGCAGATTCTGTGTTTCTTAATTATAGCATTCACATATCAAGTAATTATACACTTATAACATCGTAGGACATCTTTACAATTTATATTTTTAAGTGCATTTTTAGTTTCAGTGAATATTGGTTTCAGAAAAATTGTCCACGGCAATATGAGCAAATTAAAAGAAAAAACAAGTTAGACTTTGCCCATCTACATTCGCATCCATATTTTCAAAGTCTTAGAGCGTGCGCTACCGCGAAAAGGTATGGAACGGAAATACCAGGATCAATGGAATGTTTAAATAATCCCAGTAGACAGTTTTCTTGTCTCTTAGAAAAAATGGATGAACTCAATAAACTATTTAGCCACGCACAACCACGATATTCTCAAAGCAGTGAAAGCGAGAACAATAGTAGTACATAATTAAAACTTTCAAAATTTCTGGGTCTGGTCTGGGTAAAATTTTCAGAAACTTTTAGCAACAAAAAATCTTTTACTTCTGTTTTATGTATTACTTGCTTGTTACTCTTGATACTACTTATCATAATGTTAAGTATTAATTACAGTTATAAATAAACGATATCATTTTTGTGTCTTCTAGAAACTTGACAAAACCATTTTTATTTTATTTCGAAATTCCCTTGTATTAGGTCAAGGTCGCACTGATAATGAAAACGCCAACATCTAATCTGTAATAAAGTCCTAGCTCTACACAGGAATTATTTGTTTCTAAAACAAATGACAGTCATAGATAAGTGACAAAATCTGTCTTGTAAAACTGTCTAGCGAAAAACTTAAAGTGACGCGCAATTTTCTATACCGATTACAAAAATATTGACACACATCCTGAACTCATGATGATTATCATCACATGACTTATCAACACTTCTTAAGACCTCACCGATTATAAATTGAAACCGAAAACAATGTTGGTAGTCACAATGAGAGCTTCAGCAGTTTTTCTCAGTTCCTTTATAATCAGCACCCAGGTATAAATCATTGTCTCCGTTTATATTTTTATTTAATTTTTGCGATCAGGCTGCAGCCTTATTCAACAACCCCGAAGACGAACTCCGCAGAAGTGCTGCTTGTTTAGAACAATCCAAAGTGAGTTCCGAATCGATAAAAAATCTCCAGATTGGCAATTTCGATGACGATGAAAAAGTGAAGGAGTATTTGTTTTGTGTCAGCAAAAATGCGGGTTACCAAGATCCAACGGGTCAACTCCAACATGAAATGATCAGACTGAGGTTTAAAGGGGGTCGTTATAGTGATGAGACCATAAATGAAGTATTGCAACAGTGTGGTTACCAGAAAGACACACCGCAAGAAACTGCGTTCCAGTTCATGAAGTGTGCTTATCAGAATGCTTTCCCGAGGAACTATAAGTAATTTATTAAATTGTTTATACTAAGATAGGAATAAAGTTGATCAAAACCTTGTCATTGTTTATTTGCGTAATGTTTCTTGAACATAAGCCGATATAGTTTGTTTAGTCTCGTGAAAAATTTTCAACAATGAAGCTTTTAATTGTTCTCGCAATTACCTTATAAATTGAAATATTAAATTTTAGCTGGTTAAAGTAGTTTTGAATTAAAAAAACACAACAAAGTTCTAATGGAATGTAAATTTACCTGATTACACCCAAAACAACATTATTTTTCAAACCTTCACAAAGTTTGAACAAACAATCTACAATTTTATGTTTTATTTCCGTTCATTTGTAACCGACAAATCGCTTAATGAAGTCTTCATGAAGACAAACTAGGAATACTTACTCATCGTAATAATGAAAAACAAACGAAAGAAATGCGAATCTTTTACAACAAATGAATTTAAGTATTTTTTGATAATGACTACTACGATTTCCTAATCGCTCGTAAGAAATATTAGCCAAACAAAACAATCCAGAAGAACATACGTGAACATTAGTGATAAAAACTGAAATGTTTAAATAATACATTATCATTTTGTTTATATTTGTAGTGTATAATATTTAATTGACTTGTAATAGTTATGTTTTTAGGTCAAAACACATCATATTATTTAACTGGGTTATATTTTTATAATGAAACATCTTGACAAAAAAGTATTTTCTCTAATGTTTTTGTTTTTGTATCATTTAAAAAGTGCGACGTCAAATTTTTCTTTTAGTTCTTGATCGTAAACAAACAGATTTATTTAACTGATTATTTAACAATGTGTGAAAATAATAAGGCTGTGGTTTTACTTGAAAAGACGTTTTAAATACAAGGATTAACAAATTATAAGTTATTTTCTTGTATTAGCTAGATATTTTGCTAGTAGAAATAAAATAGCAAAATGATTTTCTGATTCAGCACTTTTCGACATCAAGACAACCTTGATTTATGTAACATCGATAACTTTTTACTACAACTATATCTGATATGAGTCACCTTAAATAGTACCTGGTTATTCGGATGTTATATTGTTTAAATAAGAGTAATGAAAATAGTGTAGTAACAAGGAAGCTTAAAACTATAAGTAATAAAACAATTTGTTTCAAAAAGTACCATGTACCAGCAAAAAAAACAATTTTTAAACTAATGAAACATCTTTAGGCAAGTTTTTATGAAGACACTTCGTGCTCTCGAAGGCTGTATATTCGGTACATTTTTCTCAACGAGACACATCTGGACTAAGTTGTCCACTTCTTTTTTGTACTTTATCTGCATAATTAATTTTTATTTAATTTGTTGCACTTGCAGTTCTTCTTTTTCATTTTGTAAGTTGATTTTTTTGGTAAAACAGTATACTTGAATTTTTAGTATTTTAGTTTAGGGTCATTAAAGTAAACACCTTTCTTGGCTTCTTTCAACACTGATTTTTCAACTTTGGACTTTTTTAAGCACACTTTGGAGTACTCATCATGTTTGGTTTTCTGTTTATCAGTGAAATCCTGTTTGATAAAAAATAAACAAATAAATTTATAAGTAATTGTTGTTAGGTAATAATTCTTTGCTTACCTGGACTGTGGTAGCCAGTAAAACAGTACAAATAACAACAAAATATTTCATATTGCTGTAATTACAACCACTACTGTTTCTTTTTCATTTGTCACGTCTTATACAGGCTGTATTATAAAAAACGCCCCAAGCCATAATTTCATTACTTTTAAAGACGTTATAATACTTTTTTGCTAAAAGTTGAACATTTTTTCCTTATCAATTGTTTGCTTGTCTTAGATAAAATGAATAAAAATGTTCTATTCTTTCCACAGCCTACTTTATTTAATTTTCAAATTGCCTAAAATCAAAAGTGATATGTGGTGTTTAAGCATAAATACTCGATTTCACCGTTATTTTTTAGGTTCTTGTCTATAAAATATATGATAGATGTCAAGTATATATTTGAGTTTAACTGCAAAAGATATTAGCTTTGGGGGACAAGTTCAAAAATGAAATGTTTAAAGAGAAAATACATTTTTTTTACATACATATACCGGGTGGTTCAGCTTAAATGACCCACTTGACCCCTCTTTGCAGACAACCCATATTACACAAAGCAATTATTCCTTGATTCATATTAGAATTTTGAAAGTTTCATGAATCAAAGTTTGCAAAGTGCCACTGTCACACGCACATGCAACAATACATTTTAATCAATGGCAATTTTTCGAATAAACGCAATTTTATTTTATATAAAAGGAATAGGTAAATCAAAAATTAATTATGTCATTGCCGATGCTCTATGTGGCCACCCGTACTCTGCTCACAAGCCACGATTGTATTCACAAAACACAAAATCAAACATCACTAAACACAACATTATTAATAAAGTTTGGATTATTTTCTAATTGTTCCCAAACAAAATAACAAAAATCTAATCTACGAGGGAACTCAGCATCTCGTAGTTCTTGCAGTAACTGCATGTGATAGGGATGATATTTATTAGTTTTTAAAATTCTAGAAACACAAGATTGGCTTATTCCCACTGTTCTTTGCCCAATATGCCGATTTTGTTCAACAGTCTCCAACACCAGAATTTCCTACTCTAAACTAGTCGCAGTTCGTATACTTCTACGCTTACTTGCAGGCCAATTGTGACACAAACACTTTTCCAGTCGGTCAAAAAATTTTATGCGTAGGATGTAGGTACTCGTTCTGGATATTGCCGAGCGTTGAATCGGCGGCTAATCTAGCATTTTTACCAGATGCATCATAAGTTAATATCATATCAGTTTTTTCATTATTTGTAAACGAATATCTCGGCATTTTTGAATCTTTGAGACGTCGTCTACGTTGACGTTTCATTTGCCGCTTTGAAATATTTACTTGTCAAATGGACGACACAATCTTTGATTTTCGATATTTTGAAATTTTTATTTTGACTCAAGAAATAAGCGCATTATGAGTTGTCTGCTAAGAGGGGTCAGGTGGGTCATTTAAGCTGAATCACCCTGTATTAGATGTTAAAATAATAGAGGGTTGCTTTCAAATTATCTGTGAATATGAAATATTAGAAAGTTTTTTCATGCTGCTTCAATCGTAATTTGTTTGTATTGTTGAATTATTGAATTGCTTTTTTCAATAAATTATCAACGAGGTCATCGATGTCAACAAAAATTGCTGCTGGAAGCTATCGTATCATCTAGAATAAATCTGAAATAACTGATGCGTGACATACAGTGGCGGACACGGAATTTTGGTCATCAAATTTATGTCAGTTTCAAAAAATGTCAATGAAAGCCACGCTTTATTGTCATTATGACTGACGTTAGAAACTAAAATTTGAAAGTTTTAGTTGAAATTTATTTTTGGCGTCGATTTTCCGTAACAATATTGCCAGCAATATGTGCTTTTATATAAGTTGCTATGTGTGAGTGGCTATAACTGTATGAATTATTAACACATCCATATGAGTATATATTTTTAAAATTTAAGAGGGCGTATAAATAGAAAATAAAGTATTTTTTGTATTTATACCTTTGGCACGACCTGTACACTTCTATTCAAAATTCAAAGCGTACAGTTAGTGAGCCCAATTTTGGCTGAATTGTCATATTGTAGTCTTATCTTTTAATCGTTGTTACTTGGAAACCTGGAACTAAAACATTGCTGATAGCTGGATTTCATTGATGTATTTTTCAGAGGTTTTAATGTGTTTAAATTTTTTGCCATATTAGGCAACCACCACCAATTACTACAAACACAATTCATAAACTTTTATTTATAAATTTACAGAAGAAGGCAATTTTCAACAATGTAACAACAATAATTTCAATAAAGATAGCAAACCATTCTAATATTTGGCGATCACTAAAAACAAAAAGGTATTCTTAAACAATGTTGTCGTTTTTCTTTACTGTTTTAAGAGTTTTCTCCAAATAGTAAGTCCTCAGAGTATTCGTTTATATAAAATCATTTTCTGTGTGTGACCACATATCTCCCATGTCACGCCTGTTCGGCCTCTTTTACATTCCTGATATGTTGCTTTTAATAAAAAATTTTGCGAAAATAAATTAAAATTTTAAAATATGTCTTAAAAGTTTGTCGTAAAATACTTTAGTTTCAAAAAATTGTTTTATTTAATTTTTAATAAGCTTTAGTGATTTTCTCCATTGTCAGTGACATGAAAGTTCAAACCACCGCTTTCTTAATGAAATATAACAATATCCCGCCTGGGCATTTCGTGAAAAATGCATTAGAGTAGTGATTCCGAGTTTTTGGTCAGTTCCGGAAGTTACTAAAGAAAACTGAATGATTTTTAATTATTAATAAAAAATAACGAAATTAATAAAAGCTGGGAAAAACGGATACAACAAAACAAGATACGCAAGGTGCAATTGATATTATGACGTTGAATTCTTTGAGCTAAAAAACTGGATGTGTCAAAAAAAAATTCCCAGATTAAAGCGCCAACGCCAACCAGTTGAACTCAAAAAATGCCCAGGCGAGAAAAGATTATTTCTATCAAAACGGCGATTGTTCAAACTAATAAAAATGCACTGAATTGAAAAATACTAAATTACTACGGCATATCTTATTTAATGTAATTAAAATTTAAAGGTAGTAAACGATAACAATGTATGCCTTATTTTAACAAAAAAAATATACAGTGTTTTTAAATGTCTGTAAATAAAGTTTATTTGTTTATCAATTGTAAACGTCGATTTTCATGTTACTGTATTCACCTTGAAAATTTCCCATTTAAAGTGACATCTTTACTGGCTATTACAGGATTACAGGAGGTCTCTGAAAGTCTGAAATTTTCTTATTATTTTACAACACAGTGTGCGCTAAACTTCACAAAGTATGCTTTGTAAATATTAGATACCATAGCTGCCAGAAATGTGTAAATATGTCAAATACAGTTTTCGAGGCCAAAATAGCTATTTACCGGTAGCAACATTTTTATAGCCGCGCCAGTACTTTACATGTCTGGTCGTACGGCCACCTAAAACCTTTTGCGTAAGTACGTGGTGCATACAAGATTTTTTTGTTAAAGCTCCCAAAATACGAATTCACACCTCTTACTAATTAAAAAAATTTCGTTACCATAGTAACCAATTTTATTTTTTAGTCCGCAAAAACTGTTTTTGGGGACGGAGTACCTAAAATGACCGTTTTGTGTACTATTTTATTGAGTCCGGAAAAGACTCATTTTAGGGACTCAAATGAGTCCCTAAAACAGCTGTTTTCGGCAGCGTACCTAAACAAAAAAATGAATTATTGGTTTTCAAAACGTCAGTACTTATTTTATGTATTTACAGGTGGTTTCGTTTTAATTGGCAAAAATTCAGGAATAGTTAGTACACGCGAAAATAATGTGGGTTTGTTCTATTAAAAATTGTTCAAAAACGCGATAAATGGCGCCACAGTTTGAAATTTATTCCCACTTTTCTTAATAATATTTCCCAAACGGAGAAAGGTACGAGCTCCAAATTTTGCGAGCACACTAGATGAGTGATCAATATTGTTGTGTATTATGTTGTTTCAAAAAAAACTTCAAATTTAATTAGCGTAACACAAAAAAATACGGCTAAGTAGAAAATTGTGGGACCCTCAAAATTACGTCAAAATCAATTCAAAATAATAGTCATCATTTGTGCTTACAAAATTTGGCGCCATTTATCTCTGATAAGAAAGCGTCTTTAAACAATTGTTCAGAGGACAAACTTGCATTATTTTCACTCGTCCTGAATTTTTGCCGATTAAAACGAAACCATCCTGTATAGCGTATTAGTTTTCTTCTACTTTTTCTCTTATTATTAAAGATTAAAGCAGTATTCCAATTTTTGAACTTTTGGACATCGAAAAGCAACGATTTATTTAAACTGTAATAAAAAGCAAAACTTACGTCACTTGAAGATTCAAGTCCAACGAACAATAATTTTTCCTTAGAGAAAAAAACTGCTTTCTATGGAACTACTTTATAAAAACACCTTAAAAAACTCATCTCCATTTCAAACCGCTATTTTGTCGTTATATAAGATATGAATTGATGGCGTATTTATGCAAATAAGCATACCAAAAAATGATTTATCCGAGCGAAAGAATCGTTCCAAAGTCCACGGTTCATTTGCTATACAATCCCATCTTTTTCTAATAACAACCTTGCACCTTCAACGCCTCACGAATTATAATTTTTATAGAAAATATACTTGTTACAGATTGGAGGTTCCATATCTTTGTTTCAACTTGGATTGTCACTCTAATTCACATTTTATCACCATTTGGAAATTGGTAAGTAAACCACTTTTTTTACGCAAGAATGGTTAGAGAGATTATCCTTGTGGTTAATTATTTTTATAAATATAATTGCAATTAACCCATGGATGTTTACACAATCACAGGAAATGATGGTTGTGTAATATGCAAATAAATTACCACCGGGAAATTACTTACAATAGTGGTTGCTGGCAATAAGCCAAATTTTTTTGTAAAAAATAACGATGAAATTAAGATTTCTGCAAATAAGTATCACCGAATCTACGGTCACAACGAAGGTATACCATTCGAGTCCTCTTCATCCTTGAACTTGCGCTCTCATGGGCATCTTCCATGGTATATAAAAGAGTGGTAGTGGCTGAAGCGAGCAGAATTAGTTCAAACACCAACCAAGAAACTAATAATCATGAAAGCCTTTATCGTTTTTGTTGCTGTGGCCGTCTGTGTCCAGGTAAGTGTCCTTTTAATCGTATATTTCGAGATTATTTTCTAAAAAAAAAAAACACATTAATTTCCTTGAACTTAATTTTTTTACAAAATTGGTTTAGGCCCTCACTGATGAACAAAAAGAAAAAATTAAGAACTACCACAAAGAATGCTCCGCTGTCAGTGGTGTGAATGAAGAGGTCATCTCCAAGGCCCGCAAAGGCGAATTCGTTGAAGATCCCAAATTCAAGGAACATCTTTTCTGCTTCTCCAAGAAAGCTGGTTTCCAAAATGAAGCCGGTGATATCCAAGAAGAGGTGCTCAGGAAGAAGTTGAACGCCGAATTGAACGACTTGGAAGCCACCAACAAACTCATCGCCAAGTGTGCTGTTAAGAAAGGCACCCCACAACAAACCGCATTCGACACCATCAAGTGTTATTACGAAAACACTCCCACTCATATTAGTATTGCCTAAATGTGAATGCATAGATTTTAATTGAATAAAAATTTAATTTGAATAACTTCGTTGTTTTTTTAATTAAAAGAGTTTCCTATAAAACACATATGAACTAAATGTTCTAAAAATTACCCGGGATGTACGTGGTTGAAAAAGAAGATTAGGGTTTTCCCGTTTTCTCGTGGGATGTTCCTCGTTGCTTATTAAAACTGAGTTAAATGCTTGACCCAGTTTTAGGGTGAACTGGGGATTTATCGAGAGTTTCTTTCGATACAGACATAATAACAAAGATCGCGATTTCATCTGCTCTTTTTTTATTTATTAGTATATTATAATACTAGAGTATAAGCAAGCCTTTAAAACACGCACGACGGGTTTAAGAGCACGACGCGTCAGCGGAGTGCTTTTAACGTCGTAAGTGTTTTAAAGGCGCTTATAAACGAGTGTTATACGCTATTTTTTATTATACCTGCCCATTTACGATCTTTTATGCGCATTGAAAAAATGTGAATTTATACAATAAAATTATCAAAGGTTGTTTGTGAATCGTTTTCGTAGAGACGGTTACTAGTTTACGTTGTTAAGCACATTTTTTCACGTTGTAATTGGTCCAGACATTAGACTATTTCTTGTTACCTAGGCAACTTTAAAATTTCAGCGTGTTATAAAGGCCAAATTACGAGCGTGTCTTAATTTAGGATTATGATGCAGGTATAGTAAAAAATATTTTATCATGCAATTTGTTCTTGTTTTTGAGATTTTTAAGGAAAAAAAATATAATATAAAAATATGTACCGTTATCAAAGCTTAATATGCTCAAAATTAGTAGTAAGTACTGAAAATCTTTATTCTACGATTATTATTAAAAGTGTATAAAAAACACTACTACTTCACTTGATGATTTATTTCACACAACGTGTCATAAGTCCAGAACACACGCTAATTTTGTGTATAGTATTTTTAAGTGACTCTGGCCGATGAGATCGTTTACGAGGTGGAGCTTTTCAATCCGTGCTTGGTAAGGATACGAAACACTATTTTTTATTCAAACGGAAAAGTTCCATTCGGAAGAATGCGTCTCCAATTAACATTCTGCGAAAATTGTAAGCCGCTGAAACGCATTTTGAAATAAGGCTTTTTCTTAAGTCGGTTGGGGGTTGGGTCTCCATTTGAACACTGAGGCTCGTCTAACCCAACCCCGACCAACTGCGTTTCGTACTCTTACCAAGCACGTGTTGACAAACACCACCTCGTTTACGATCTCATCGGCCAAAGTTCATTTAACGATTTAGGCAAGCTTTTCAGTCACAGAAAATATACATATTTTAAAAAATCCAAACTCTTGGAATTAAATTCAAAATTTGTTCCATTAGAACCATAAATGATAATTTTAAAAGTAGGTAAAAATAATAAGTATATTATGTTTGATGTTATTAAACGTTATGAAATCAATGAAAACAAAATTATGCGTTTTTCATATTTTTCTGTGTATTTGATGCAATAGTAGAAAAAGTATAATGTGCAACACGTATGAAAGGCATTTTTTACACTTGAAACGACCACTTTGGTTAAGTTCGGAAAATCTTCGTGATGAGCTCGGAACGCAACTTTAAGAATTTATTAAAAAAAAAACCTACTATTAGTTTAAAATAATTTTACTTACTTAGCAGTTATTTTTGGATTATAGTTTAAATATTTGTAACAGTAGGTTGCCATTTAATTAAATTTTTGTTGCAAAACTCGTAAACTAAAAGAAATTTCGAAAAATGTTATTTTTCATAAACGGTCACATTTTTATTTGTACTTTACGCTACACTAATTTATTTTTTTATAAAGTAGTTAGCTTATGAAAAAAACGCTTGGATCCATCCTTTTTATTTACCGTGTATGTCTATCTATCGGCAATTTCTAAAATACTTTTAGCTAAAATAGTTTCATAATTTTTGAAATTAGTTTGTGTTACATAAATAAAATTTTCTACTCCACAGAACGATAATTCAGGCCCTGCTATTGATAAAACATTTTCTAAAGTTGCTTATTTTACCATACAAATTCAAAAGTTAAAGTGAAGACGGTTTAATCAGACACAAATTTCACAAAACAATGAAACTTGTAAACACAATAATTCTAGTTGAATCTTTACACGAATAGTAATTATATTTTTCATCAGATTATCTTGGTTTAACTAATTCAATTGGATAACAATTAAGTGATATTAGGACTCTCGTTAGTTCTAAATACCTCCATTACTAGACTGACTCACCTGCAAACTAAGCACCTTCTCTCAGATTCCTAACGTGCTCAAAATCAATAAGCTTAAAATTGAAACCTTCTAGACAAATTATGTTTTCTCGAAATTAATTTCATTAAATAATGAAAAAAAAAAAAAGCTTTCTCAAGGCTCCATAAATATCTCAACGATAAAGAAAGCAGACTCAAGTAAAATGAAACCACTCAAGAAAAAATTGCAACAAGTTAAGATCGTAACAGCTTACGGGTTTTAAATCACAGTACCCACCCCTGTATTTAAGGGCAGATACAAATGACTCCTCGCAAGAGCAACTCGTACATTTCCAGTCGCAAATTTATTATTATTGTGTCTAACGCCTTTATGGTTTACGGGTGACTTAGCTACAACTTGTCTTTGCGAATTTTAAAATTGAGGTGCTTGTGTTAAAATTGTTATTCATATTTGGGCCCAAGCTAGTTTCTCAAAACAAGCGAATAAACAGCTCTACCACCAGATGTAATATCTTCCGCTAAAAGTTTATTGGCCGTAGGCCAAACTTAGGGATGAAACAAAATTGATGGGGTGTATTATCCTGTTTACGCTTGAAATAAATCTGTTGCATTTGGAAGACGGTTTTTTTTAAATTACATATACTCATTTAGATTATTTGAACGTGCGTGTGCATAATTGGTTGCATAAATATTTTATGTTATGTGCGATGTGATTCAAATGATCATTTATTGTGGTATGAAGTGTGATAAACTGATCTTTGGGCACGTTCTTAGAAATTCATTATTGCAAGATTATCACATTTAAGATATTGCTTTAAAAAGTGGAGAGAATGTGGACAATAGGCTGCTGATTTATTTGTTCCTGGTTTTTGGGGAGAAATAAATACAATAAAACGTTTTATGTACAAAAATTTATTACTCCTAAAACACTAACTATAATATAAAATTCACAGCTTTCGTTTTATTCCGATTTCTTGTCTGATCCGTAAGAGTGAAGGAAATAGCACTTATGCACTAGATAGACCGTCTCACAGGAGTCAGCTCCTTTCAAGTCTTTACATTTGTCTATTATTGCCAATGCCTTCTCCCGATTTGCTTCCTTTGGAATTTTGGCCTTAATAACATCAAATAAAAGATCTCCGTTTTCTGCCACAAAACCGGCCTTCTGGTAGAAACACTTGGAAAAGCATTGAAGTTTGGCATCGTCGACGAAGTCTCCATTGTCGGCGCGGTCAATCAAAGCTGGATCTACTTTAGTTTCTGCGATACAATCATCTCTATATTGCTTAATTTTCTCTGTTCGGTCGTCATCTTCCTGAAAGAAATTGAAAGAGTGACCTTTTGCCGATGTGGGTCAGAGAAACTGCACGTTGCAACACGATGACGCAACGCACAAAAAAATCAATTACCTGCTTGGTGCAACCGGCCAAAGTGAGGAAGAGGAGCACTGCGACTGTCTTCATGGTGGCTGGCTAAATGCTTTAAAATAATTTCTAAATCTCTTTTATACGCCACACCACTTTGGCTCGTTTTGCGGCGAGGTGAAGGTTACAAGTGATGTGAAAGAATATCAATAACCGAAACGTATTCGATCGATTCAAGAAAATCGAACACAATAGATACGGGTGACAAGTCAAAAAGTTGAGACAACCATGACCGGAAGGTGATTTTGGCGGATCTACACGATTCAGCCTTCGAAACTGCTTAATGTCATGCATCTAGATTGCAGGTTTATGTAAATAGATCACGTGTGAGTTTTTCCCCGTTTTATGAGAACTGGTAGCTATTGGAATTTCGTTCTCGATGGAAATTAAACGTGATTCTTCTATACGGTAGAAAGTAGCTTAATTAAGGTGTAACACTTTTAATCCGCACAAAACACAGACCTGATAACGCGCACGTTTGGTTTATGGTTTATGTAATAGGAGGGTTTATTTAGTTGAATTAATCAGGGAAAAGACAACATCTTCACGGTATCATCACGGTTTATTGCCAATGAGAAAGCCAGCCGGGGTTAAATTGTCGTAAAGTATTTGAAATTATATCGTAAAAACTTATGAAGGAACAAACTACATAACATTTTGTCAGAAACAACACAAAAAGCGATAGTATTTTTAAAATGAGAAGTTGTTTGCTATGGAACCGTACTTAGTACATTAACAATAATTTTTATGTGTGTAGTTATACGATCTTAGTCATTTACATAAAAATAAGAAAGTAAAAGTCACTTTTAAAATTGTTGTAGTAGTTGTGCCTTAGTGTCTGGAATCATGTTTATTATCTTTCTTTGTTTATCTAATGAAACTTGCTATTAATATTTCTTAGTTGAACAGTATACTACTCGTATGAATATTATAATTATTTACAATAAACCTTAGATTAAAAATTTCATTGCTAAACTACGAAAAATTATTAAAACCCTAACAAAATTTCAATTCTAGTTTTTATTAATGTGGAGGTATAGAAACAGTAAACATTTTTTTGTTAATTTACAATCTAAGTATTTCAAGTTATTAAATTGCACATTAATAGGTCAAAAAAGTTAACTAACTAACGAATTTGTCAATATACAAAGGTGTATAAATTATTAATTAATTAATTAAATTACATAAAATTCCAAAACAAGTTGTAAAAATTGTTATAAGAAATTGAGTTAGCTTTAAGTGTTTGAAATTAATTTGTAAAAAAAGCTCAAAGTCGGTGATAAATTTTGCTATACGTTGCAGATTCGCAGAGATGACGACCCAAGCAGAGCAGCTCAACAATAAACGTCTAAACTTGGAAAAAGCAACAAACTTCATGAGACAATATCGCGACCCCCATTCCCGCGAACTGAAAAAACTTTCGGCAAATCAGTTCATGGAAGTCTGGAGTCACTACGACAAAGACGGTAAGTGTCTCGAAAGGTATGAAAGTTTCACGCGTAGTCCTTATAAAGGATTTAAAGCTGACCCGTAATTTAATCCATAAGATGAACAAAACAGATTAGTCTTTGACAAGAATATGGGAGGGAAAAGTTTGCAAAAGTAATTTGTAAGCTTAGGAAAGTTGGGATGTCGAAGCGATTTGTTGCATGTACCTATCAGTGACGACGTGTCAAACTTTTTGATTAAAATGTTTGGGTTTGCAATTCTTGTGTAACCGGTCGGAATGATATTTGCGGTGAAAGTCAAACTCTCTCGTTCGACGTACAGCGATATATTGCAGAATGGGTCTTCAATAGTTCACCTTTCACCCTAATTGAAGAAGACTGTAATTCAATGAGTTGCTTTCAGGGAATGGATATATCGAGGGAACTGAACTGGATGGGTTTTTGAGAGAGTTCGTGTCAAGTGCCAACGCCACTGATGTCGGACCGGAAGTAAGTATGATCGAATTTTTACAACGTGCATCAAAATGCCTCTCCAGGCGGTCTCCGACGACATGTTGGTTGAACTGAAAGCGTGTTTCATGGAGGCTTACGATGATAACCAAGATGGAAAAATCGATATTCGTGAGGTAACCCAACAAAAACTGAATCCGAATGATTCTTTCTTGCGGTGTTGCAGTTAGCGCAACTACTTCCAATGGAAGAAAATTTCTTACTCCTTTTCCGATTCGACAATCCATTAGAGTCTAGTGTGGAGTTCATGAAGGTAATGCTTTACAATAGTTTCACTATTACTAGGTACTACCAAAGTATTTTTTTTTAGATCTGGCGAGAATACGACACGGATGGTAGCGGATACATCGAAGCCGATGAGCTCAAAGTAAGTCCCTTAAGTCAAATACTCCTCAGTTATTAGACTCTTCTAGAACTTCCTACGAGACCTGCTCAAAGAAGCGAAAAAGATTAATGACGTATCTGAGGACAAACTCATCGAATATACCGACACCATGGTAAAGTACCATCTACTAATAATATCGTCTAAACCTTAACACTTTTCCAGCTCCAGGTCTTTGATGCTAACAAGGACGGCCGTTTACAACTATCAGAGATGGCCAAGTACGTATAGTAACCTCACTTGAGACTTTCTTCTAGTAACAAGTTTCAGGTTACTTCCTGTTAAGGAAAATTTTCTCTGCAGGCAAATCTTCAAGGTGAGTGAGGTACCGATCAAATTTTCTTCCCACTGGTGTCAAAACACAAGTTTTTGTAAACGACACTTTACGTAATGAATAAGTGTTATTCCAACACACAGTTACGTACGTCCACACAGTTTAACAAAGAAAATTGTCTATTTCTATATTTATGCACTACTCTATTATGGCACTAGTTTTAGTTCTTAAAAAAATAAATCTAAGTCTAAATTTAAACTAAATTTTTCTGCTTTAGTTCAAATTAAACAATCCTTTTAAAGTACATCAAATGATAAAACTTTTTGCATGGCTTCTTTTGTCTGTCTTTGTGGCTAAACTATAGGAAGGAATAGAAGTAAGTAACCCAATCTCGTTTTATGTTAGTTTAGTCTTCGCTTTATGTGCATGTTTCCTTACTGTCTATCTTCCTTCATCTAACGTCCATCACAACATACATCACAGGGAAAACAACAATATAATTGTTCAAACTAAGTTTGATTTAAAATTTATTTGATATTTTGTGCAAATTTAGGGTGCTACAAAACTCACCAAGGACGATATCGAAAGAGTTTTTGCTTTGTACGACAGGGTAAGATTTTCTTTATGTTAATTAAATGATGAAAAAATAATTTTTCTAGGATAACAATGGTACAATAGAAAATGAAGAATTACGTGGTTTCTTAAAAGATTTGCTCGAACTTGTCAAAAAAGTAAAGATTGAATTTGTTTTTTTCTGCTAGTTTACCTTGTGTTTTTTAGGACTATGATGCTCAAGATTTGCTCGATTTTGAAGAAACGATTCTGCGAGGCGTGGACTACAATCAAGATGGCAAAATCAATAAGAAAGAATTGACGATGATCTTGTTAGCCATCGCAAAACATAATCAAGAGGAGGAATCATCCGCATAGATATCATGAAGGGAAAAACCTTAACGAGTTGCCAATTTATCAAGTAGCACAACTTTCAGGAGTTTATAAGTAATCATATAATAGGGTTAAATTTAATGTTAGATTATTGTGACACCAATATTGTTGTTGATTTTGTAGCGTGACTACAATAAGGTAAAATGTGCATCAATCTCTCAATTATAATCATTTTTTACGACAAATTCTTGCATTGCTGTGATTTTATTAAAAGTATTCGTAATTAGAGGGCAACACGGTTGATATTTTTATACTGCAATAGCCTTGAGATCAGATATTAAGTTACTTTCTGTTAATGTTCCAAATGAGGGAGAAAAAACACCAATCCAAACCAAAGACTTATTTGATACAATGCACAATTTTCATATCGCACTTCAATTAACTGTTACTAAATTATACCTAGATTAGTCATGCATGATCTCTGACCTTTCAGTATCTACATACTCAAATATTTCAAAGTTTACAAGTAGTGATGTTGCTCTGTTTATCTGTAACTTTAACTACATATATTTATAAATGCAGTTACGGCACCGTATTAACGATTGTGATACACCTTTCATTTGACGAAATGAAAGACTTTGGAGAATCGAATTTTACTGATTGGTCTGTCTCGAAGCCTAAAGTAGATAAAAATGTGGTGTATCAAACCGCAGCTTCGAATATTATCTTAAAAATTCGTCCAGTTTCGCATATCTGTGCCCCTCTATGTGCATTATTGTATAATAAAGTCTATTTTAATAAAAAAGTATAAATTAATTTATATAGTATGTTAATTCCGTTATGTTATATTGTACAAAGTTGCCAAATTTTATTACAAGTGTGAAATACCTACAGTTAATCATAATGTAAGACAATTTTTGCTTGTTTTTCGATTCAAATTGATAAAAACATTTTCAAACTATTACAAAAATGGTTCACTATGTCCTACTATACTGTAAAAACTAATAAATGTTCGTTATTTATATTTGTTTCATTACTTATTAGAAAAGAAATCTACGGATACTAAAACAATATTTAAAAAAAATAATGGATTTGCAACACCAATTTATTTATGTATATACGTATCGTACATGTAGTCTTAGGTCTAAAACAGCTATGTTGCATTAAGGAGAATTATTGCATGGCACAGCAGTAAGTCTACCTTCAATTTAAAAGTTACAAGTTACAACATAAGGGGAAAAAACGTTTCGATGTTACAACATTTATGAAAGATTAAATTTATTTTTGGATTGGAATTATTTGATGCCCGCATTTTTTACAAGTTGTATAACCATCACTTTGCATTGAAATGGGAACTTGATGATCTACCGATTTGGACCTCTTTTGTTTAGGTATATTTGGCACTTGGAGAAAATCATCACTGGGTTCATTCGGATCGAATTCGCCTGAAAGCACACGTTTCATTAAATTTCCTAAAAATTTAAGTAGAAAAACCAGAAAAAGTGCTGCCGTTGTCTTCACTTTCATTATAGTCTTCTAAAGGTGGCAAGCCTTCACTGGAACTAGGAGTCCCAGCTTCGATGCCATGGAACAAGTCCAGTCTCGAATCCAAAGAAAACTGTTTGCCCGACATTAAAATCCCCTTGATTCGTCTTCTCATTGCTTCAAAAAAACAAAATTATTCGTCTGCAACTAACAGATTTTTTGCTTTACCAGGACTATTCTGTGCATCTTGTCTTAATTTAATCGTTTTGGAGAATTCAGCAATCACGTCATCGCGGTCGTAAATTGCTGCAAAACTTCCATTGACAATTTTGGGAGACATTGGTGAATTGGAAAGTAGGAGACTCGTGCCAAAATTCTCATTCCTGTTCTTAGTGTCTGCAAGGGGAACTCTTGGGCGAGCACCAAGAGTCCACTCGTTCAGAACTTCAGTTGCAACAGTTCTAATTTCTTCCCAGTCTTTAACAATGTCCTCATTTGTGGTTCGCTGAGACGTTACTGTAAACCTGATTATGTATTTGCCTTTGATTATAGCCGGAACGCAATGGATGTTCCCGCGAGAATTGATCCTCTTCCAAAGTGTTTCAGTGATAATGTTGTCACCCACTAAACGAAAAACAACAAGACCTAAATGTCGCTTGGCTGGGATCTCAAAACGAGAGTCTGATTGGAGTAGAGCCTCAAATTTTTGGGCAAGACGCACGCCCTAGAAATTCTATGTACATTAGTTGCAAATATCCTAGATTAAATTTACCTCTCGGATATGTTTCTGAAGTCCAGTAATACCATAATTGCGAATCACGAACCATAATTTAAGAGCCCTGAATCTTTTGCTTAAAGGTATCTGCCAATGCTAGAACAAATTTTAAATTGAAAAACAAAAAAATCAAGTAGAAAATACCATATAGTCAATTGCTAGACCTATAAAATGTTAGTTTGATTAAGACAGATCAAAATTTTAAGGATAACATAATAACGTACCGGAATATTCGTGTTGAAGATATACCGGGTCTACATTGAAAGCTTCGTGTAGTGCTAAACTATTTTTAACCCTAAGAGAGTAAAAAAAAATAGTGTTCTTTGTGTTTTATTGCATTCAAATTGTTTACCACATTGCTGTACAGTCAAAATGCACCATCAACCATTTTGATGGATTAAAAGAAATTGAGTCAACTTTTTCGACTCCTTTTAGCCAGACCCTATACTCCGGACATATAAAAGCGCTTCCAGCATAAGCAGCATCCACATGCAACCACAAAAACTCCTCCACACAAACGTCTCCAATTTCGTTCAAATTATCAAAAGAGCAAGCACCTGTCGTGCCTAAAGTAGCACAAACCTATACACAGAAAATTAATCTTTAAGTTTCTCTCCACACAAATCGGACATTATTAATTGCATCCAGTGGGATTTCTCCAGATAGCTTTACTTTTAAGAAGATTTCCCCAATTAGTTATTTGTGCGGAAATATCAGACGTCGCTCAATAACGGCTTACCCAGAATGGTATGAACCCCAATTCGCGATCTTTCTTGATAGTCTGCAACAGTTCGGGTCCACGCATCGATAAGTTCTCGTCGCATTCGATATACCGGATGTGGACTAAACCGATTAAGGCTGCTTTTTCTACGCTGGAATGAGCTTGGTCTGAACAATAAGCAACTAATTTACTGTTAATTTCGCCATTTTCGGCATCCGGGTAAAGCTCCTTGTATTTTTTAATAGCTTGCCAGCGACCCGCCAACAGGCTGATTAAGGTGGCCTCGCTGGCAGTGGTCTACATTAATTCAAAACCAAATCAAAATCAAAATTTTTGAGAAATTTTTTTTACCTGTATAACCCCTCCTCCACTTCCATTTTTCCGGTGCAAAAAATCCTCGGGAAGACCAATCATTTTTCCTAACCAGTTCATCACAATCATCTCTAGCTCCGTAGCAGCCGGACTGGATGCCTAGAAGCTCTATCCTATTTATCCAGTTCTTAGAAATATTGCTAAACCCACCCAAGTGAATCCCACACAGTTGATAGCATTGGAGAGCATCTCTCCCAGCATGGAAGGGTAGCTCGTCAAAGCCGGAAAATACGCATGCATGTGGGGACTCTGCCAGTGGGTGACCCCTGGCATGATAACATTTTCTATGTCCGCGAAAATCCGGGGCCAAGTTTCGCCCTCTACGGGTGCGCTGTCGGGTATCAAATCTCGGAGAAATCCTGGTTTCTTATCCGGGAACACTCTGCGCTCTCGGATGTCTTCCAGATAATCCGCAATGTAGTCGACGAGTTCTTTGCCTTTAATTGGAAGACCGGAATTGTGCTTTATTGGAATTTGAATGTCGAAGATTCAATCGCGCGGATTTTATTGTTATTGAGGGTGTATATTACTGTTAGCTTGACAGTTATGGGGGTGGGATTGAGACTCACCCCGGATTCGGTATTCAGTGGCGTCCATCTGGGTGCGTGAAAGTTGGCGAGAGACAGTAGTATGGTTTCGGATTAGCTCCTCGGAAGTTTAGAAGCTTCAGGTTTAATCTTATTTATTAGTTGATAATGGATTTAAACGTGATTTTGTTGAGAAATTTGTAACAAAGTTTAACAACTAAAATAATTTTTGTATATATTTCTAAATAATATGAATGAAATAAAAGTGCAATATACTTTTTCCAAAATGATTCATATCAAATGAGTTTTAAAATTACAAACGAAAAAAAAAGTGTTTAAATTTGTACTCACCCTAAGTTCACTGACTAAACTCACACTGTAAATATACTGAAGCCAAATGCTATCAACAAGTGACAACGTGCTTTATATAAGGCTTCCCTCCACTCCGTTTCAGGAAAATATTATTGGCTTTGTTTCAGGGAGCTTTACAATATAAAACAATCTGCATTTCTTGAGTAATTGCTTTGTTATTGCAGCTGTAAATGAAAGTAAATATTCAGTAAAATAAAGTTATATTAATAAAATTTTGTTAGTCGATAAAGTACTAATGCCTGTCTACTTAGACATTTTTTATAATTTCAATGATATCTATATTTGGATCATGGTATCACCAAAAATTAAACTTTTATAGGAACTGCATATTTTATTTTATCGTTTTTCTCCTTTAATGTCTTTTCCTACACCAATGTTAGAAAAACACTATTTTAAATTTTGTAAAATCTTTGTTTGCTAAAACTTTTAAAACAAAAGGAACAAGTAAACAAATATAACTGTAAAAACTTTTAAGTGGTAATACATAAAGAGACAACAAAATTGTCAAAAACCTGCAGACAATTCAGTCAACATTCATCTTTTTTCATTCTTTTACATGAATGTATACAAAATTTAAATTTAAATTTTCATTTTTTGGCGTTCAGCCCTGCTTGGTTAAAGATTAACTTGTAACAATTTTAATAATAAAAAATCAAGTTTGCCTTAGAAACTTTTGAAAAACCATTTTTTTTTTGGAGACTAAAATGCGTTTTATGTGGCATATAAGACAAAAGTTATTAAGAAAAGTTATTTAGAATCAACATCCTTATACAAAATTTCAAAATCATCGGCAAACTATGATTTTTAATTTTTTTTCCAAGAAAAATGCTTTTTAGTAACAAAGACGTTATTTAAGTAAATAAAGAAGTTATCTAGTAGTAATATAAATGTGCCAATTTTTTTATCCATAAATAATAAAAGGACTGTTTAAAATAAAATTGTTTGATTTATAATAACATAAAAAAATAAATAGTTAGCCGATGGTTTTAAACAACTTTTCTTCATAAATTTTTTTTGTTTTTACCACATAAATGGCACTTTACTATACAGTGAAATAATTTTATTTAAAAATTTCCAAGGCATACTTACTTTTTACGCACTCAAATATACAAAAGTCACAAAACATAAAAATACACATTAAATTATGTAATTTTTGGAAACCCATGACAGTACTTGTCAAACTAATCAGTGTTACATGAGAGTTACATTAACAGTCATAAACTGCAGTTTTTCGGAAACAATTAT